GAAACAATAATTTCCTATTTCACTGATTGATGTTGGTATATTAATCTCAGTTAATAATGAACAATATTCAAAACAACTATCAGGTATTTTACTAATTGATGTTGGAATAGTGATTGATTTTAATGATATACATTTATTAAAACAATTGTCTCCTATTTTATTAATTGTTATAGGTATATTAATAGATGTTAATGTTTTGCATTTATAAAAACAATTATCTCCTAATTCAGTAATTGATTGTGGAATAATAAATTCATCAATACCTTGTTTTATAAAATCTCTTTTATTGATTAGTTTTAAATTTTCTGGTATTTCAATACTAACTAATACTGGTTCATTCATAAATATTCTATCTTCACTGATGAATTGTACAGTATCTATATCAATATCAACTAATGATGTACATTTAAATAAACATTCATTTCCTATTTTACTGATTGTTGATGGGATATTAATTGATGTTAAAGAAACACAACTACTGAAACAACTATTTCCTATTTCTTTGACAGTAGATGGTATATCAGTGTTAGTTAATGAAGTACAATCATAAAAACACCAATCCCCTATTTTACTGACTGATTGAGGGATAGTGATTGATGTTAACGATAAACATGCACCAAAATAACAATGTCCTATTTCTTTGATTGTTGTTGGAATATTAACATTAACCAGTGAACGACATTCATAAAAACACCATTTCCCTATTCTACTAACTGTTGTAGGTATAATAATTGATTTTAATGATGAACAACATTCAAAACAATAATCTCCTAATTCTCTTAATGATGATGGTAAATTAATATTAGTTAATGAAGTACATCTACTGAAACAACTGTTTCCTATTGATGTAATTGTTGATGGTAGAATAATTTCTTTTAATAATAAATATTCTGAAAAATAATTTTCTTCTAATCTAGTAATATTTGTTGGAATAATAACACTGGTTAATTTTTTGTATTCATCTAAATAATCATCAACAGATAGTGTTTGTATTTGAGTATTGACATTGGTTAAAGAAGTACAACCATCAAAAATATTATTCTTAATTAATTTAATAGATGTTGGAATATTTATATGAGTTAATGAAACACAGTTTTTAAAACACTCATCTCCTATTTCAGTAACAGATGTTGGTATATTTATTTTAGTTAATGAAGAACATTCTAAAAAACATTTATCTCCTAATTTACTAATTGTTGTTGGGATATCTATTTCTGTTAATGAAAAGCAGCATTCAAAACATTCATTTCCAATTTCAGTAATTGATTTTGGAATATTGATTTCACTTAGTGAACTACACCAAATAAAACACCTCTCTCCCAGTTTCATTATTGTTTCAGGAAGGACTATTTTCGTTAATGAAGTCATTCTATGAAAACACTCATAACCTAATTCACTAATTGATGATGGAATAGTAATAGATTGTAATGACCCACACCAACTAAAACATTCTCTTCCTATTTTAGTAACTGATGTTGGTATAGTAATGTTTCTTAATAATGTACATTCTCTAAAACAACCAGTTCCTAACTCAATAACTGATGGTGGTATAGTAATTGTTCTTAATGTCTCACAACCATTAAAACAATTTTCACATAATTCTCTGACTGACGACGGTATATTAATTATTTTTAATGAACTACAATTATTAAAACACTCTTTCCCAATTTTACTCACTGATGTTGGAATAGTAATCAAATTCAAATAATTACATTCTCCAAAACATTTGTTTCCTAATGATGTAATTGTTGTTGGAATATCTATAGATGTTAAATTTTTACAATTATAAAAACAATTTTGTTCAAGTGATTTAACTTCTGGTGGTATTATATTGCCATATTTATTTCTATCATATTGTGTATATTCTATATTTTTACAGATATTTCCTTGTTCTTTTTCGAATAAATATGTTGAATAATCTACTGTATACCATATTATTGTTTTAAATATTCTTCCATCATCAAATGTTTTATCATTTTTATTATAAATATGAAATGTTTCAATATTAGGAAAGAACCTTCTTGAATATTCATTTAATGGAATTGGATTAAAATGAAATCGTTCCATATTTCTTTGAAATCTTTTAATTCCTATTTCTAAATTAATAAAATCTTTAATATCATTAAAATATTTTGATGTTATCATTATTTCATTATATCCTAAATTACTTTTTCCAATTATTCCTTTATTGATTTTATTATTATATATTATTCTTTTGATATTTATTATCATTTCTCTTTCTGATGAATATTCTGAATATTCTTCTTCTTTTTCTATTATTTCTATTATTGTTTTAATATATGTTTCTTCTGAAATTTCTTTATATCTCCATCTTTTTGTGTTTATTTTGTTTTCTTCTTTATATCCTTTTTTAATTTTATTATTTATTATTATTCCTTTCTCTTCTTTTTCTTCTGTTATTATTCTATTGATTTCTTTATTTTCTTCTGTTGTATTGTTTGTTCTTATAATATTTATTATTCTTATTATTATCTTATCTTTTTCTTTTTTAATATTTCCATATGTTATTTCTGTATTTTCTATGATAAGAATTGGTGTTTCTATGTTATATTCTTCTGAATGTATTCTTTCAATTATATGATATTTCCGTATGATTTGTACATTGTTTAATCTTCCTAGTTTTGTTGAATTTTCTATTCTTCTTTCATTTCCTTGACTTGTTCCATTAGGAATACAAATGATTGTTCTTTCATTTTCTTCTTTCTTTTCTACTTCTTTCTTAATATTATTGAATATCATTGATAATTTACTTTCTGCTTTAATCATCATTTCTACTCCTTTAATATTTTCTTTTCTGATTTTCACATTCTTCTTATCATTGGAAATGATTTCTTCAATTATTTTCTTTTCTTCTTCTTTTAAATATTTCATTCTATCAACTCTTTCATATTCATTTCCATCATACAAATACACATCCATGTCATCATATTCAATATCAATTATCATTGTTATTGTTTTACGTTTCATCTTTTATTTATTTTTAAGTTCATTAAACTGTAACTTAAATTTTAATTCGAAAACATTCTTTTTTATTATTTTTGTTATTTTTATTTAATAAATATTCGAATATGGTATGTCAGAGACACCACACAGAACCCTAAAATATATCACCCCTCGATTTCCCCAGTTATGGACTGGTTATGACGTTGCGTTTGGTTAGAAAAACATCTTACCCGGTACTGCAAGAATAACAGTGATTATTATTTACAATGATGGGATGTCATTGACAATAAACGAATGGGTATTTATAAAGATGTTATTATTACTTGTTAGAATACAAATATAATTGATAATATAAGATTATCAAAGGAAAAGGGTCAAGTGGTTGAGGCTAAAAAGAGTATTAACCCATAGCAATACAGTAGTAATTGTATATTCTCCTTAAAATAATAAAATGAAGAAGAAATTCAAACCCATCAAAATCAAATAGAAATTAAATAATTAATATTTAATTAATTGATGTTTAAATATTCTATTCCACATCAAAAACGAGAAAAGGAAATTCTCACAGTTCAACAACTAAAATTAAAGAACAAGCCAATAGTTGATAAACAAACACTTTTAAAGAAAGGGATAGGATTACTTAATCTCCCCTGAGCAAGGAACAATAGAAGATATTTCTATTAATACTTATTATCTACTTTTTACTTATTTTTCCATGTAGAGAATTTAACAAATTTTATTGGATTACTAAAAAAGTATTATTGATTCTTTGTAAAGAAAAAAAAACAATATATAAACATCAAGGAGAAAGAGAAAATGAATTTCAATAGTAATAAGTGTATATAAAAATAGTAAAAATAACAAGGAAAAAGTGAATAAAAAGAGAAATAATAAAAGAAAAATGAATACGAAAAGCATGAGTGAATGGAATGATAATAAAGATAACACCATTAAGAGACAAAAAATTTTAACAAAGAGTGATGTTATGTGAAAATAAGAAAATAACAAATAAATAGAAAAATGAGAATATGAAGAAATAAAGATAAAATATGATGATAAAGAAAGTAAATGATGATTAGAACAAGAAGTATATTCAATATAAAATAAAATAAATAGAGAGAAAGTTAAAAATTAAATTAATAACAAAAGAAATGAAAAAGAAATAAAGACAATAGTCAAAACAAAGAAGTGAAATATGTAATACAACAAGAATAATAAATAAGAAACAAAGAAAGACAAAAAACAAAATAAAGAAATAGAATAATAAACGAAGTGAATTTTAAAATAATTGGTTAAATATAATTAGAATTTATTTAAAGAAAAGAAACAAAAAATATAATAAAGAATATGAATAAAAGACGGTAAGAACAAACCCAGTAATCTCAATAAATGGATTAGTAAATACAGGATGGCATTAAATTAATAAAAGAATTAAAAATTGAAATCATCAAAAATCAAAAATATTGTAACTAAAAACATAATAGATATCATGAAACGTTGCCCCTACAATAATAGAAGATACTCAGTAGAGTAATTAATAACAACTATGTGAGGGGATTAATTTCTGGAACAAAGAATAATATAAAACAATTATATTAATACTTAAATAAATAATAAGAATTTGGTATATATTCCACAACAATGTTGATTCTTTTTATTTTCTTTAATTATTCTTTCTCTCTTTATTTATCTTTTAATTGTTTTTTTTCATTATAATTATTACAAAACTTTTTATTTTTTTTTATTTCTAATTAATCATTAATTTCATTTCTTTGAAACAATTTTATCAACCAAACTATTATTTTCAATTCTCCTTATTAACTTTATCAACACCATATGTTAAATTTCAGTAAATCACTAAAAAGAATAGTTTAGTTTACATTCTTTAATGTTATAATTTTATAATTCTAAAATAAGGGAAAACAGTAACTACTCATTTCTTTAATGTTTTTAATTTATCCAAACAACAATCATTCAATTTTCTCTTTTTTAAAGAACCCATTCATTAACAAATGTACGGTTAAAAGTAGTGTCATCAAACACAACACCACACCATTGGTTTTCTTCAAATTTCATTTCAACTGTTTTAATTTTGGCTGTTTCAAATTCTTCAAGCTTTCTTTTTTCATAAGCAATTTTTAATCTATTATAACACTCTAAAGCAACGTCTTTCATTGTAAAATCAGTTACAGATTTAAGGGCATTTTCAGAGTATTTTAATAAACAATTCATTAACGCTTCTTCTTTGTTGTAAAGAACAGTAATTCCTTTAGTTAATACTTTCTCGATAAATTGAAGAATTTCAACTCGTATAGATGACCATGAATGACTTAAACCAAGTTCTAATTGAGTAAATAATAAATCACTATACTTTCTTGATAGCTTTGTTCCTTTTGTACCAAATATATCGATATATGTTAAAACAAATTTCATTGCAGCGTCTCTAACTAATGGAGACAAATCAGTGATTAAAGGAAATGATGAAGAGATTATCTTTGTTATAATAGTTGGATGGAGGTCACTATATGATTTAATATGCCTTTGAAATAGTTTTAAACAATTCACTCGTGATTTCTCAGATGGTAATTGAATACCACGAAGTGCTTCACTAATTTCATTTGAGGCATCTGCGATAGCTTGGTCTCTCATTTTAAGTACTTTAGACTTAACTATAGGTGTTTGCGATTTAGGAGCATTTTTTTGCCCAATGACACTTTTCTTTTTGGCAAAATCTTTAGGTTTTGACTTGGGCATTTTTCTTTATTTTTAAGATTTTTTTATTTCTTTTAATTTTTTAATGAAAAATAATAAATTTTATAATAAAAATAGTTTGATATAATAAAAACAAATATCTTAAAGTCATATATCTAATGACACCCTTATTGAAGAAGAACAACTAGATGACACACTAGTATTTAAAGAAGTTGGGACTGACACTGGTAATGTGGGAGTCCATATTTCTAACCTGTCAATAAGAAATGAAGAAGAATTTGTGAATAAGTTATTATCAAAAGTATCGACTCTAGAATTAAAGCAATGTAAATCTTTATCCAAAGAAAGACCAGCCATTCCACTAACAGTATTAATAAATTAAATTTTTGTTATAGTTAAAGAGTTAACAAAAGAAGAACAAACTTTCCACCTCCAAAAACGAATCTTGCAGGGTCAGTTTGAATAAAATAAGTATTTTTCATTGTTGCTGGGTATTTTATTGGTGGGTTTAAAGAGAAGAGAAATGTCTCACCATTTCCATAATATTTTGATGATATAATAATAGAGTCATTCATATATGCTCCAAAAATTTTTCCTTTTGCTTTGATTAATAAAATAAGTGGATTTCTAGACATAGACTGATAATATAAGTTAGTCAAAGAAAACCCATTCACTGTTGTAGAGAAAATAACTTCTAAATCTATAATCCCTATTCTTGTTGGTAGAAAAGAATTTAACAAACGAGCTTCTTCAATAGATAAGAAGTCATTTGGAAGAATTGATGGAGTAATACTTTGAAGAAGATGTGTTTGTGGAACTGAATCAAAAAATAAAGGGTATTCCTCTTCTGTTCTATAAGAAACAAAATAATGATATTGAAGATGTTGTGGAACATCATTTAACCAAGCACGTGTTAAAATATGATCAAATTCTCTTGTAAAAGTATAAATAAAATCATTAAAATCATCAACATCTAATGGTGGATGATCACAAAGTTGTAGTGTTATTAAAATAATGTTTAGTACTAAAGGATATCCATAAATTAAAATACTTCCTAAGAGTAACATTTTTTTATCTGTTGGAAGATGAATTGTAATAGGTAATAACATTTGTTTAAGTAAGTCATTAAAAATTGTCATTGACTCAATTCCATTTTCTTCTAATTTTATAATATAATTTGGTAAATTCTGTTTTACAAGATCATTTAATGATAATATTAAATAATCGAATTGAAATGAATTAAATGGATATATTCCTTTGTATAATATTTTAATTAAGAATGATTGAATAATTAAATATGTTCTTTCAAATTCAAATGCTTCTAATAATATTTTTATTAAAGAATCAATAAATTGAAATTGAATAGATTTAATTCCATATAAACAACGAATAATTTGATTAATTTTAACTGAAATGAATTCATCAGAATTTTTGATTAACCAAGACCTTCTAAAAGAATGAATATCAACACTTTCATTCTTCTTTAAGATAAATATATTAATAAGGTCTTTTGCTAATGTTGAGTTTACTAATAATATTTCATAACAATTACTTACATTTGCTAAAAATGTTATTCCACTTTCAAGTGGAACTCTTCCCCAATCATTTATTTCTTCTTTTAATAATGATCTTTTAAGATACATTAAATGTTGTAATTGAGGAGTAAAATCTGTACTTCTCAATCTAATAAATGTTGAATACTCTCCAAGTTTATTTGATTTTAAAAATAATAATTTAAAATAACGAGCCCAGAAATAAGTTTCGTCACTATAAACTGAAGGTACTAATTGTATTAATGCTTGATGAATATTAGGGTGCTGAACAATCACATATGAAACGTGTTTAATTAATAATTCTGATATTGGTGATACAGCTTGAATTTCTAAAGGGGTTGGGTAAGGTTGAGAATAAATAACTTGTGCTGAGATAGTGTTAAGAATTGGCTGTAGTGCTTGGTAATTGAGGAGAAATAAAATGTGTTTTTTTGAATAAGGTTCAAAGAAACGGTTTGGTTCCATTAATTTCGTTTGAAAATTCAAACAATTTTGCAGATTTGCGATAAAACAGAATAAAACCGAATCATTTAGAATACTCACTTACTACATATTTTGAACAAACCGTCAAAGTCTCTAAGAAAAAACACAAATATATTAAAATTGTTGTTATTTTCTTGTTAAAAATCCCTTCATGAAACGTAGAAATTTATTTTTTGGTACATTTTCTTGTGGGTTTTCTTGTTGATCTAAGGCTTGATACCCATTTCTTTGTTGACGTTCTTGGTCTTGTTCAATTATTCTATCACTTGGTTTGGATGATTTATTTTCTGCTTTTTTAACAACTCCTAAATCTTTCTTTTTCACTACATGGATAACAATAGATGGATAAAATATTTCCATCTTAAGTTTTTCATCATTTAAGGGAGTTCTTTTTAATGAGTTTAATAATTCAATTTCTCTTTTCTTGTAACCTTTTGTTTCAAGAAAAGCAAAACAGTCTGCTATAGTATCTGTTTTTTCAAAAGGTTGTTTAATTGTTTCACTACTTGGAAGTCTGAAAGCAACTTGGACAAATTTTTTCATCTCATTTTTTCGTTCTAACTCTTCTTGTCTTTTTTTCTCTTCAATTTCTTTAATTCTTAACTCTTCTTCTTTAACTTTCTGTTTTTGTTGCTCTTTTTCAGCAAGGATTTCTAAAGTGACTCTTTCTGCATATTTTTTATCACTAAGTTCTTGTAATTTTAATTCTATTTCTTCATTTCTCTGTTTAATTTCTTCTCTTTTACGTTTTTCTTCTAATAACTGACGATTTTTTTCTCTTCGGAGTTTTTCTTCATGTTCCAATTCTTGACTTTCTTTTCTCCTTTGTTGGAGGATATCTTCTGAATCTGGGGTTTCTTCTAGGAGAGAGACTTCAGTTGACAAAGGTTTTGTTAGTGTGTTTTCTTTTTTGCTGTTGTCTGATTGGTTTTGTGGTTGGTCTTGTGGAGACGGTAAACTGACTAATGTGCATTGAATAATAGATGATGTGATTTCAGGGACTGTCAATTTTTCATCAGTTAATACAGTAGTTAGTCCATTTTTGTTAAATAAAAATAATGAAGGAAAATGAATTTCGTTTTTGTCTAGTCATCATTAATTATTTGTAAAGAAGATAGAAACAAAAAATATCCCAAACATAATTGTTTAAAAAAATTTATATTTTCTGAATTTTCTTTTATCAAAATACCAGAACAACTGGTAGTAAATATTGTGGATAACTTTTATAATATTAATACTATTTATTTCACAATAAGTATAAAACAAACATTATTCTCAATTAGGTTTTTGAGTAAAAGAGATTCTTCTCTATCATCAATGGCAACAATAACAATTATTTTATTCTCAGTAAAAGCCTTTGTAATTTCATCTGAAATGCTTCCTTCATACCAAATATTCATTTTATTTTACTTTATTTATTTGAAGTTCAAAAAAAAAAAAAGAAAAAAAAATTAAATCAAAAAGAAATGTAACTGATTCAATTATTTCTTATTTTTAAAAAATATTTGAAATTATTCTCTTTAATTATTTGGTTTATCTTTTCTCAATATAAATACATTTATTTTAATAGACTGAATAAACATTATTTTAATTATTCTCTTCTTCATTTGATGTTATTTTATTATTGTTTTCTTCAATGTTTCACTTATTTTATTTTATTATTAAATTATCTCTCTTCATTAAGAAGGATAGAGAAAGATAAAATACTTATGATTTGGAATCAAGAAATAATAAATTAAAATAAAGGAAAATCCAACAAAATATCAGACATTTATGTGAGAGATTTAAAGAAGAAAGAGGTATTAATCATAGATATGACAATAGTAAGAGATAAGAAATAAGTAAAACATTTACAAATAAAATAAATAAATAAATAAATAAATATATATATAAATATATATGAAATTACTAGAACATATCAGAAAAATAGAAAGATTAATAAGAATAGTTATCATTCAAGCAGTAATAACAGTAATGGATTGATATTTAAAGAAACAATTAAATTATTAAAAAGTGAAGGGATTAAAATTGTATGTGAAATAATGTATAAAGATATTGTAATATCAATTATGAAAGAACTTATGAGGTACTGAATTAATCAATCTGGAGAATACATAGATCTAGAAGAAGCAGAGATGTAGACTCTTTGGAGAGTGAAAGGAAGAAATTCTCATGAACAATAGATTAAAATTATTAAATCTTAATTTATTTATTTAAGTTATCATGTCTTCATTTAGATTCAAAAATATTAGTCACATTGATGATTTTTTTTAAATATTCTTTATATATAGTAATGTTTACTTTTCTTTATTTGATGAATAATCTTATTTACTATTTATAATACACTTTACCATTAATTATTTATTAAATTTTGATATTAATTTTCAACATAATATACGACACCATTCTTTATTTTATTCAATTCTCCAGTTTATTAATAATTTAATAAATATAAACTTTCTATCTTTCATTTTTGTTTCTTCTAATATACTACTTTTGTAGAAACTAAGTTTTCATATATTTAATTTTTAAAAGGTGTGTCAGTTTTATCCATTATTTATTCATTATAATAAGTTTTATTTTCATATTTTTATTATCAAAACAGTAATGCTAACCATTGTTTCATTTTAATTTAATTATTTTCTAATCAATATATCAATAATTAGTCTATTTTGTATTTATTTATCTTATGACATGAATTTAGAAAAGAAATCACTTTTTATTTAGTATTTATATTCTTTTTAAAATAATTATCACAATTATAATTCTTTAATTTATTTTAATGCTAAATAAATTTTCATTTTTGGTTTTATAAATATTAATTAATGAGTTTTCTTTTTGATTCATGAACTATCTTACTTATTAATACATTATGTATATAATTTTTTTTTTGAATGTTTTATATTTAGTTGTTTATAATTAAAATATCAATAATTTTGACTTTTATTAAGTTATTTATATCTAGTTCTAATTTAATTTCCTGAATATCTTATTGTTTATTTGGAAAAATCTTCAATAATCATTTTCTTTATCATTTTAAAATATATTATTTGTATTATACTCAGATAATTCTATACATTCAATAGATTATTTCTATTAGTGGTCTAGTGATATACTGCAATTATTTAACAGAAAGTTTTTATTCATCTTATTTTCTTAAAACAAGTTTTTTAATGATATTCTTAATCATTTCTATTTCATTGTCAGTAATATTTAATTACATGAATCATTTTAAAAATTTATTTGTATTTGGTGTTATATTTATAAGTATTATATTCTGTTATTTTTATTACAACTCTTAAAAAAATTATGAGTCAATAAGTTATTCTTTGTTATAATCTTTTTTTTTTCATGATTTTATAACTGATTATCCATATTACTGTTAATATTATAATATACATCCAAGTTTATTAATTATTCAATAAAAATAAGTTAAATCTATGGACAATAAAAACACTATTTGTTTCGTGTTTATTTTAGTATTAATCTAACTTGAAATATTTTAAAATATAAATCCTCTGTATTGAATTAAATTTCATAGCAATGTAATATGAATCAATATAATACTATATGTTCATTCTAAAAGTTAGTATATCATTAAAATTTTTTTTCTTAATTATTTGATCCTAGTTATTTTGTATTGTGCAACGAATTAGGCGGTATTTTTTAATCTTTTTAAGGATGAAAAGTATGTCCACTTATAGTATTATTTCTTTATTTTATATTCTTATTAACATCACATATTTTTAGTTGTTTGGTTCTTTGAGAAAGATAGTTAATCTTTATTGTATACTCATTTTGACTATTCTTTGAGTTAAGGTTGTTTGATTAAAGTCTGATTTATATTCTATTGACCTTTTAAGTCATTTCTGAAAGTTATAAAAAGCCAATGTCCAAACCTTCTTTATTCCTATAATATTTTTTGGAGGTATTTTTGAACAAAGCAATAATTATTAAACCGTTATAACGTTAATTTAAATTTTTTAATAGAAGAATATCCAAAAAAATTTTATGAATGTAAAAAATAATAATGAAATACAAATAGGAGGAAAAAGAAACAGAGAAAAAATAATAATAAAAAACCAATTTAAAATATGATTTGATGTTATGCATTATAAAAACAATCTAAAATTAAAAAAATTCACTACCATATTTTATTGACTTTTAAGAATAAAAAAAATAATAAAAAATAAAAATAAAGTAAAATTAGTTAAAGATCTTGAAAAGTTATACTTTTTGAATATGAAGACAGCTCTATTACTGTTACTCACTATAACACTGTCACTTTCAGCATCAATCGACTATGTTTTTACTGATGTAACTGATGAAGACGTAAAATTAGAAGATGACCATGATTTAGTTGAAGAGGATTTAGTAGAGTTTGATACTGATGATTTCGATAGTTCATTTGAATACAACCTTGAAGATGATAAGGCAAAAGCTGCCCCAAAGAAAGCTGCTCCTAAAAAGGCTGCCCCAAAGAAAGCTGCTCCTAAAAAGGCTGCCCCAAAGAAAGCTGCTCCTAAAAAAGCCACTCCAAAGAAAGCTGCTCCTAAAAAAGCCACTCCAAAGAAAGCTGCTCCTAAAAAAGCCACTCCAAAGAAAACAACTCCTAAAAAAGTTGCCCCAAAGAAAACAACTCCTAAAAAAGTTGCCCCAAAAAAGGTTACTCCTAAGAAAACAACAACTAAAAAACCAGTTCAACAAAAGAAAGGTCTTTTCGGTAAAATAACCTCATTTGGTTCAAAAATAGCTCAAAAAGGAAAGAGCATTGCCAAAAAAGGAATGAGTGCTGCTAAAGGAAAAATCAGTTCCATTAAGAAAGGAGGTAAAGAATTAGTTAATAAAGGAAAAACGATGATAAACAAAGGGAAAGATGCATTACAAAAAGGAAAGGACACATTAAAGAAAAGTGTTAACAACTTAAAGAATAAAGGACAGACTATTATGAATAAAGGAAAGAACATTGTGAATAAAGGAAAGAACTTGATAAACAAAGGAAAAGATGCTTTGAAGAAAAATGTTAGCAATTTAAAAAATAAAGGAAAAGACATGATAAACAAAGGAAAAAATATGATAAACAAAGGAAAAGATGCTTTGAAGAAGGGTGTTAACAATTTAAAAAATAAAGGAAAAGACATGATAAACAAAGGAAAGAACGCTTTAAAGAAAGGAAAAGATGCTTTGAAAAAAGGAAAAGACGCTTTAAAGAAGGGTGTCAGCAATTTAAAAAAGAAAGGTGCTCAAGCACTAAAGTCAGCAAAAGATAAAGGAAAGAAGGCATTAGAGAATATTAAGAAGTATGGAAAAAAAGCTATGAAGAAGTATTCTGATGCTAAGAAGAAGATAAGTGAAGGAATCAAAGGAATGTCTAAAAAAGCTCAAAAGAAATTTAAGGAAACTGCTAGCAAATTGAAAGAGAAAGCAAAAGGAATGGCTAGTAAATTTAAAAAGTTAGGTAAAGTAACTTTGAAAGGAGCTAGTTCTGTTTTCAAAAAAGAATGGAAAAAGATGCAAAGTAAAATTAGCAAGACCCTTAAAAATGCAGCAGGCAATGTTAGGAAAAAGTTGTATGATGGATTAAAGAGTCAGTGTTGGTTCAAGGCACTTCAATCTTGTGGTTGTTGTAAAGAGTGTATGGCACAAAAACCACCTTCTTGTGGTTGTTACAAAAAAACTAGTGGTGGTTCATCACATCGTAAATCAAAAGGCTCCTCTCGTAGTTCATCAAGTAGTAGATCAGGAAGTTCATCCGGAAGTAGATCAGGAAGTTCATCCGGAAGTGGGTCAGGAAGTTCATCCGGAAGTGGATCAGGTAGTGGATCTTATGCAAGTGCTTCTGTAAGTGTAGACGGTGGATATACTGGTGGGTCTGATAGTGGATCAAGTGCTGGACAACAAGTAAATCCTGTTTTCAACAATAATGTTAATGCTGGAGGATATCCTTCTGGAAGTGAAGGATCTTCTAGTGCTGCAACTAGTATTCAACCAAGTGCTCCTGTAATTCAACCAAGTAGTCCTGTAGTTCAACCAGTACCATATCCAGTTCCAAGTGGAAGTGCTTCTGGAGCAATTGCTTCTGCTCCTGCACAAGCTGCTCCTGTCATCGTACAACCATCAACCCAACCAAGTGTTATACCAATGCAACAACAACAGCAACAACAACAACAAATGACACCTCAAATTATCCAACAACCAGCAGCACCTGCTCAACCTCAAATAATCCAAGTACCAAGCTCAAGTGCATCTTCTGCATCAGCTGCAGCTGCATCTGCAACACCTGCTCAACCTCAAATGCCAACAATCAATATGCCAGCTATTACTATTACTAATACCAATGATAACAAAAAGGAAAGAGCTGCTGAGAAGAGAGAAGAAAAGGCTGCTGAGAAAAAAGAACAAAAAGAAATAGTTAGAACTGAGAGAGAGTCCAGAAACCTTGAAAAGAAAGTTGGTAAAGGAGTTCTTAGTAATGAACAAGAAGAACAGAAAGAACAACGCCAAGCAGTTAAGATTGTCCGTGTGTATGAAAAACAACAACATAAGAAAGAAAAGAAAGAAAAACAAATAACTGATAAAATTATTAAAGAAACTATTCCAGAAGAAAACACTATAACTAAGAAAACTGTTGTAAAAAATAAAGTTAAAACCAAAGAGGTTATTCCAGAAGAAAAGGTTAGTGTCAAAAGAACTGTTACAAAACCAAACATTCCAGAGCCAAAACCTAACACTCCAGAACCAAAATCATTTGAACTACCAGAACCAAAACCATTTAAATTACCTGAACATATCGAAACAACAAAACTTACCATTAAAACACAACAGAATAAGTCACACAAAAAACACATCACTAAAAGAAGAGGATGTCCATGCATCCACAAAGTCCCAGACGTACCATGTAAATGTTCTAGTATAAAGAGAAATGACAGAGAACTTAAAAGTATTATGAAAAACTTAAACCGTCTTTAAAATTTAATGGAATTACTCGATAAACGGTTATCGTAAAAAAAACCATTCATTTCTGGTTTTTATTTTTTGTCTTTTTTTTCTGATTTCTTCTTGAAAGAAAGTGAAAATAGTTTATAAATATTAATAAATTAATTATTTATCAAAATAACTTTGTAATAACCTTTTCACAAAAGATAAGATGATTTTTTTTCTAAAACTCTCTTCAACTAGAAAGGAAAACATTCTTTTAGGTTTAATTATTGAGAGTATTAGATGAACTTTGAAAGAGAACTTAAATACAATATTTCATATGATCCTTAATACCTTATCACTCATTATTATTGTAACACTTGTTCTTCTTTACTTCATTAGGCCAAAAAAATATAACAAAGAAAAAGAAGGAGAGTGGGTTGGAGAAAATAAACAAGGAGAGACTAGAGTATTAAGAGGGTATACAGGAATAGACAAATTGGTTGATTCAACGCCACAAGGGAATGAGACAATTGCTGATTTAGTAAATGGATTTAATAAGAAAGATAAAAAACAGTTTATTGGATATAGAGAACTTAAAAATAAAGTTGTCGCTAAAACAATTATTGAAAAATGTAATGGAAAAGAAATTAGAAAAGAAATATATCAATATGAAATGTCTCCCTATGTATGGTATTCTTCAAAAGAATTTTATCATTTGATATGTAGAATTTCTAATGGTCTTAGAGTTAAAGGATTTAAAAAAGGAGATAAAATAGGAATGTTTTGTGAAACGAGATTTGAATGGATGGCTATGGCATTGGCTTGTGCAAGACAAGGAATTACACTTGTTACTGTATATGCTACATTAGGAGAAGAGTCTGTTAGAGTTGCATTAGAAGAGACAAAGTGTGTTGGGTTAATTGTTAGTGAAGAGACAGGAATAAAGATGAGAAAAATTGAATTAAATAAAGAAATTAAAATTATTAGTATTGATGGCCATTTTGAAGGAGAATATACTACGTTCAAAGAACTTAGTGAAAGTAAAGAGGATGAAGAAACTATACCTTCTGTTGCACCAAATGACCTTGCATTTATTATGTATACATCTGGTACTACTAAAGAACCTAAAGGAGTTTTAGTTGAACAAAAACAAATATTATTATTAGCACAAGCATTCAATATTTGTTTAGATTTAAAAGATGAAGTATTTGTTGCTTATTTACCTTTAGCTCATATCTTTGAATTGTGTTTAGAGTTTTGTATCTTATCATTCTTTGGAAGTATTGGATATGCCAATGCACGTACATTAATGAGTGTTGGGTGTACTAATTGTAAATCTGATTTATGTGAATTAGAACCAACCTTAGTTATTGGAGTTCCAACAGTATTTAATAGAATTCGTAAAGCCATATTAGAGAGTGTCTCTAGAGCACCAACATTAAAACAAAGTTTATTCTTTGGTTGTATGAAATTAAAGAATTTACTTTATGTGTCATATCAATTAAGAACTCCATTACTATTTGAACCAATAGTTAAATTTGTAGATAGTCTCATTTTCAATCCATTAAAAGTATCATTATTTGGAAGAAACTTAAAAACAATCATTATTGGTGGCTCTGCTCTTCCTGTAGAACTTCAAACTTTCTTAACTATTACATGTGCTAAAACTAATATTTTACAAGGATTTGGAATGACTGAATTATGTGGTGCTTCTAGTTGTATGGTTCCAGGAGATTCAACTCAAGCCACCATTGGATTATTATTCCCTCATTATGAGTTAAAATTAAGAGATGTCCCAGAGTTAAATTATTTAACTACTGATAATCCACCAAGAGGAGAATTAATGTTAAGAGGAGCTCCTGTATCAAAAGGATATTTCAATAGACCAGAAGAATCAAAAAGTACTTTTACTGAAGATGGATGGGTTTGTACTGGTGATATTGCAAAAATTACTGAAGACCATCACATTTGTATTATTGATAGAAAAAAGAATATTGTCAAACAGCCATGTGGTGAATATATATCTTTGGAATTAATTGAATCTAAATACTTAACATCTAAAGTAGTTGATACTATTTGTGTCTTTGCTGATGCTTTTCATGACTTTACAATTGCTTTAGTATTACCAAATAAGAATATTATTGCTGAAATGACACAAAAACCATTTGAAGAAGCATGTAAAGATAAAGAAATAATTGGAGCAGTAAGAAAAATTATGGCAGAAAATGAAATTGGGTTGTCTCAAAGAGAAGTTGTTAAACGTATTGCTTTAATAAGTGAAGAATGGAACTCAGAGAATGGAATGCTAACTGCTGCATTAAAACTAAAAAGGCCTGCTATTGCTCAAAGGTATCAAACTATTATTGATCAATTGTACTCAATGAACTAAATTATCTTCTTTTTATTATTCATGGTTATTTATTAAATCTTTTTTGTTCATTTCCATAGTTTTTTTTAGGAAATAACTTTCAGTTGTTATGTTAATAAAAGGAAGAAATGTTCCAAATAGAATAAACTTTCTTAAAAAGATAAATAAGTTTGAGAAGAAGTTGTATTTCTTCCGATGTTTTTCAGGTAATTAAATAGAATAAAAATAAAAGAAAAGAACTATAATTTTTAATGGAGAAAAATCAAATGAAAAAGAAAAGTAACTTTTCAAAAATACAGAAGAAAAGAAGGGGAAAGAAAATACGAATTATTTCTGTTTTAATAAAATGAATGTTATCGAATTTTTCGTTTAAATATTTAAACTAAATAACGTTAACTGTTTATATCAATTTTATGATTTCATTGTGCTTATTACTTCTTGCTTTAGTTAACGCTAAATGTTCTCATAAAGATTTTGCTATGTGTTCATCAAATAATTGTGCTGTTTCATATGATTATCTTCTCTTAGTTGAAACTTGGCCTGGACAATTCTGTCATAGTAAATGTTGTGATTTACCAAAAACTACTATGGCTACTAAACCAGGATTTACTCTTCATGGATGGTGGCCAAACTTTGTTAGTGGATATCCATCATGTTGTAAATCACCATACACTGATGCCCAAGTTTCTAAAATGATTGAAAATGATCCAGAATTTATGGAAGCATTATCATACAATTGGGCTTCATTGACTAAATGTAAGTTTTTCAATTATGAATATGATAAACATGGAACATGTGTAAGTGATGTTTATAATGGAGCAACTGGACCAAAAGATTATGCTATGACAGCTATTAAAATGTTAACTGATCATGATTTCTGGAAAGTTTTCAAAGCTGCTGGAGCTGTTGCTGATGGAAAAACTTCATATAAAAAATCATGGTTAAAAGAATTAGCTGCTAAAGAACTTGGAGTTGAAGGAGCTGTTTATTTCACTTGTAGTGGTAAGTATATCAGTGAATTAAGAGCATGTACTATGGTTACTACTTCTACAAAAGCTAATCCACAATTTATTACTTGCCCATCAGGTGCTACAAAACAAGAGACTTGTGGAAATGATATTATTTTTGAGAAAGAACCAGTTTTAACTGATGGTGGATGTTTGTATTAAAAAATTTAATTACAAAAATTTCATTCTTTAATTTTGTTTTCTTTTTATAAAACTAATATTAATAAATTCATTTTAATGATTTATAAAAAAGATTTATATAATCTGGTCAGTTTTTTTAAGTTTTGAAGTATTTTTTATTTTTTGGAATTTTCCAATTTTTTCTTTTTTTTTTAATTTTTTATAAAATTAATATTTAGTAATTACTTAAGTAATTATTCAATTAAATTGTATGGCTCTATTGTAAACAATTACTAAGTTTTTGTTTTATGACAAATTGCTAATTAAGAAAAATTTTTAGTTTGATGTTTTTTTTATATTTATTTTATTCTAAATAAACAATAAAATTCTATTTATTCTTTTTTGTTTAAATTAACATAATTTTAATAATATTAAGTTGTATCTCTATATGTGAGTTTGATAATGAAATAGAAATATATAAGAATGTAGTGGGATGGTTTTTATTATTTTTTTATTTTTATTTGTGTGTATTAATTTCTTTAACTCTTTCTGTCTTTTTCATATTAGGATTAGAACAACTAACAATTCTATTGATACTTCCATTTCATCTTTATCATTTTTATGAGATTTTATTTAATAGTAATGTTCTTTGTTGGACAGACTTATTATGACATTTTATTTCATTACCAAACAATAAAAACATAACAAGGTGTATTAGAAATAACTAATAACAAAAATAAGAAGCTTATTAAAATACTTTTAGATTTCAAAGTGAGACGAGTATGTTAAAAAAGTACAATCAATTTTATTAATAATACAAATAATAACTGTTTATTGTTATAAAAAACCTAATAACAAATGTCCTTTTCAAAAAAAGAATTTATTTAATTCTATCTTTAAAGCAAGTTCTTAAGCCATAAGTTATGGATTCAAATTTAACTATTTTGTCTAAATACCAAGTTTTTCCTTTTATGAACTATGCCGACAACTTAAATCGTTTCAAATAACCTTAACTGTTTTAATTTTCATCATTTTTTTGAAATTGTATATTATTAATGATTGATATCTTTCTTTTTTTAATAAAACTATTTTTTGAGTATGAAATTGATATAACATAGTTATTCAATAAAATCTACAAATTAGTTTTAGTTGTAGGATATTTAAAATTAATTTATAAAAAATTAATGAGTTGATACTAAAAACTATAATAATTAAAAAGTATTTTATTGAAATACTTGAGTTAGTTTTAATAATTCAATAAAAAAATGTATAAGGTTAAATGAATAAAAACATAAAAAATGATAATTTTTATACAAGACGTAATTTTTTTGAATAAATTGAAAGGAAAATAACGATTTAAAATTAAAAAATAGAAACAAATTCCATTTTACCAAAAAAAAAACAAGATATTCCTTTAATAACATCATCAAAAATATTGAACAAAATTAGCAATAAGAAAGCACAAATGTTGAAAATTAAAAGAGTGTTATACAAAGAGATATATATTGATTTATCTACAACCTTCACAAGGACTTAATACGCAATGATTAATTCTTTTATAAAATTGTTGAATATAATTTTGGATATCATCCATGGATACAATATTCCATAGATATTCAACAAAACTAATTAATTCTTCTTCATTTCTAAATTGTCTTTTCTTAACTTCGAATTGTATTTTAGTGAACAAGTCATTTAAAGGATTTAAATCAGAACTATCGTGAGGAAAGAATTCTAAAAAAGGAAAAATTTCACCTTTTAACATCCTTTCATCAAGAAATACATGTGGACCAAGTTTTTCTAAAACTTCATCAGAAATACCATAATTTTTTAATGCTTCTCCAAGCAACATATCATCTTTAATATTAATTAATGGTGATTTCCATCCATTGGCTATTGCTCCCCATACTGTTATTTCTAATAATTTTCCTTTAGCAGTAAAAGCAGTAAATACAGGCATTTCTCCTTTATTACAACGAGTTAAAACACCATTTTCTCCAACTGCTATTATAGCAGTAGAACTTAAAACAACTGGTCTATTTAATTCAAGAATTTTTGCTGCAAATTCTTTTCTTTCATCTTCATCTCTTTGTTCAGCAAACCTTCCAATAAAAACTCCATTTTCAAATTCAGCGTAATGAGGAGTTCTTCCTGAACTAGGTGTTTCAAGGTCATTATTTCCTTTATGTAATTTTTGTCTTATAACACGAACAGTTTCTTTTGAAAGTGAAACGTCAGGGAATTTTTTTTTAATTTCAGCAGCAATTTTACTACAAGAAATGTCTTTATTGTCAGAAAATTGTGCAATAAATTCTTCAATTTCATCAGTTAATTTTGGTTTTCTTCCTCTTTTTCTTGATAATTGATGATCGTTTCCATAACATTTGAGAAAACATCTCACTGTAGATGGGCTTCTACCTAATTTCTTAGCAATGGCATATACTGAAGATCCGTTTTGCTCTTTTTCATTTATTATTTGTAATTTGATGTCATCCGTTAATGGTCGTCTTGGTGAAATCATAAAAAATTTTGATTTCAGATTTTAAAAAAGGGTTCTCAAATGATGCTCTTTTTGGTATTACTTACTTTTTTTTTTTTCCTTCTAATACTTTTTTCCTTTATTTTTTCAGGATTTTCTTCTAATTTCTATTAAACTATTTTTTGTTTTTTCTTTAAATAGACAAGTTAAATTCTTAGATTGAGATTTTATTGTCAGTTTATCGTATTCCATTATATTCCTCAAATTTAATGGGAAATTCTATCCAAAAAATATCATTGTATTTTTGAAAATAAAAAAGATTTATCTTAAAAAAAGCTTCTTCAAATGATTTCAATTATCGCTTAAACTAAAATATGGAAAAAAACTCAAGATACTTTAAAAAGCAATGGAAATGAAGATCAACAAAAGATTTTATTTCAAAAAAGTAATAAATAACACAAATTAAAAAAAAGAAAAAATAAAAAAAGAGAAGAAAAAGAACTATAATTTCAAACACAAAAAAAAGGATAAGAAAAAGAATGACAACACAACCTATTCAAGAGATTTCGAATCAGTTTTTAAGTGGGTATGTGATATGTGTTAGTGGGTATTCTGTTTGTTATTTTTATTAATTATTTTAATAATTTAAACAATTAATTGTAATAACAAAAAAATAGACCGATGAACGAGTGTTATTAGGAGGAATGATTGAACAATTTGGAGGAATTTATATGGAAGATATGGAAAGTCGGTCAGTTTCTTTTCTTTTATCAAAAGGATTAACAAGTGATAAAGCAAGACATGCAAAAAGGTGGGGAGTACCAGTTTTAAATCATCAATGGCTATTTGATTGTATTATTGAACGAAGATTTGTTTCAATAAATAATTACATATTAAATCCTAGTATGTAGTTTTGTTCATAATTCATTTGCCTATCTTGTCAAGGTATTTTATATTGGTTTTTAGTAATCAAAACACGAAAAATAATATAATAGTTTTTAATAGTTTAAAAAAATAATAAATTATAGTTACTTATAAAAAAAAATTGAACTTATAAAATCAATTGATGAATTCTTTATCATCTAAAACCATAAATCAACAATTCTTTAATGGGTATATTATATCATTGAGTGGATTCTCTGTTCAAGAGAAATTAATTATGAAAGGAATGATTGAAGAATGTGGAGGTATGTGTACTGATGATATGAATAGTTCTACAATTACATTCCTCATTGCAAAGGCATTATCAAGTGAAAAAGCAAGATGTGCATTAAGGTGGGGAGTACCAGTTCTTAATTTTCAATGGTTATTTGATTGTTTAAAAGAAGGTAGAGTAATATCTATTAACAAATATGTTTTAAATACTTTTAGTTATTAAGAAATTATACATTTGAAGCCATTTTGTTTTTGTTAGTTTAAGTTATAATTTTTAAAAAGTTTTAGAGTAAGAAAATTCAATAAATTTTGAAAAAAGAAAAATAAAAAAAAATAAATAAAGAAATTAATTTAATGAGTGAGTTATATATTACACAACCTACTCTTGAATACTTTGATAGAGAATCAGGTTTTACACCAGAACAAATGATTCAAAAAATATCAACATCAACAACACTTTATGTGGGAAATGTTAGTCATTCCATGAATGATAAGAGAGTATATACATTATTTGGAAGATTTGGAAATATTAACCGAGTTATTATGGGTGTTAATCATTCAAACGAACCATGTGGTTTTTGTTTTGTAGAATTTAATAAAAGAAATGATGCTGCATTAGCAATGAAAGCCTTAGATAGAACTCAAGTATTTGGACAATATATTAGAATTGATTGGGATTATGGTTTTGTTGAAGGAAGACAATACGGGAGAGGAGATGGTGGTGAACAAAAACAAACTCAACGTAAAAGAAAGTTTTATAATCATTCTGATAATTATAGAAATGAAAGAAGATTTGAATTTCATGAAGACAATAGAAGAAATGACTATGACGATGGCTGTGAGCCTAGAAGAAGATACGTTGATGAAGAAGATCAATTACCTTCACGTAGAGGAGATAGAAGATATTAAGTAAATTTAGTTTTTCTTTCTTTTTGTTTTTAATTAATTTATAATTAAATAATTAAATTAATAAATCAATATATTTTAATATGTTTCAGTTCCAAATAATAAAATTTGTAATTTTTTAGATGAAAAATCATTAAAAGAATGATGAATTCCTAATGATTGAGCTTCTATTAATTGAGACTGATAATTAATTGCAATGACTAAATTAACATGAGTCGCTTGTGCTGCTTTTAAACCTGCCAAAGAATCTTCAAAAATAACAGTATTTTGAGTTGAGGCATTAAGTTTATTCATTGCTTTAATAAATAATTCTGGATTTGGTTTAGGTAAACATGACTTATCATAAAGAATAATTTGATCGATACTAAACCATTTTTCAAGATGTAAATATTTAAAATATAATTTCATAGTATTTTTTGAAGCCATAGAAGCAATAACATAATGATATTTATTTGAATTATTTTTTAAATAATTTAATAATTGTTCTGCTCCTTTTTGTAATGAAACTCCTTTTTCAAAAATTGTTATTAAATATTTGTTTTTATCGTTTAAAATGTCTGATATTAAATTTGTGTTATTTGTTTTCATTATGTCAATTATCGTTTGTTTACTTGATTTTCCAATGTGCTCTTTTAAATAACTCTCTTTTGTTAAATAAATTCCTCTTTTTTCAAAGGAATATTTCCATGCTAAATAGTTGATGTTTGTATCATCAAATAATGTTCCATTAAAATCAAATATAAAATTTGTTATTTGATTCATTTAATAATTTTAATTATTTAATTATTCTCTTCTTATTTTATTCAGTTTCTTTTTATTTTTGTATTTATAAAAGATAGAACTATAAATCATGATATTGATTAAATGGAAAAGAATATTAGTTCAATGAAATTTTGTGTTTATTTATTAACCTCTATTAATCCTGGATTTAAATATCACACCTATATTGGAAAAACAACTTGTCCTCCAAGAAGAATTAAACAACACAATGGAATTATTAGTGGTGGTGCATTCAAAACTGAAGCTAAACGCCCTTGGGAAATGGTAATTGTTGTTCATTCATTTCCAACTCAAACAAAAGTTTTACAGTTTGAATGGGACTGGCAACACCCAGAAAAAGGTAGAAGAGTAAGACAAGCATTTGATAATATGAAAGGAAAACATTGTGGAACTATGTTTTCCTTACAATATAAAATTAGGTTACTTGCAGAAATTCTTCAAATGCCTGCATATTGTAAATTACCATTATCTGTTTATATTACAACTCATCGTTATGATAACTTTTTAAATGAATGTCCTCCTTTACCAAAACAAATAACTGTTGAATACGGAGATTTAAGTGATATAATGAAATGTGTTGGTATCGCTAGAATAGACAGAAAAGAAAAAACTAAAATAAAACGTGATAATATTTTTGATAATCTTCATGGTACTTCTCAATCTCAACTTTCTCAATTAATCGAAGATTTTCATCTCGATGATAAAACATCACAAGAAGATACCTTAGCTGAAGAACAAAAAAAAATTCAAATGCAAAAAGAATTAAAAGAAATACAAAACACTTCATCTAATTGTTTCATTTGTCAACAACGCATTAAATTGGATCAAAGAATTGTTAAATGTTTGTATAAATGTGGAATGAAAGCTCATCTCTGTTGTCTTGGAAAAATATTTAGTGAAAACACTCATACACTAATACCAACAACAGGAAATTGTCCTAGTTGTCACAGAGAAATTAGATGGGGAGATATTATTAAGGTGTTAAAGAATAAAACTATTACATCTTTTTAAACCCTTTGTATAAAAATATAAAATTGTAAAAATGAAGAATAAAAGATATTTTTCTTTTTGAGTTTAAATAATATTACATGCTTTTAGATGTGGTTTATTTTCCTTACGTTATATGAATGTTTGAAACTCTTATTAATATCAGAAACAGTGAAAGATGAAATTCTTAATTTGTAGTGAACAATTATTTCACTTCTAATAATTACAGTTCTATCAAATTTATCAGTGACTGCAGCATTACAATCTTCAGTCAAATAAATTTTCTTTGAATACTTATTCATTAAAGAAACAGCTGGTTCAGTTGGGTGTTTATAAAGATTCCATGACCACATGAAATTAGTGAAACTTTGGTTTAAGAACTCCTATCATTCAGCATTATTAGAACATTCTTGTCTATAATGATTAGCTTTATATAAATCTACTTCTCCAATATATCTTTGTATGAAGATTCTACATTATGATAAAGATAACCAAAATTAGAACTGTTATCTTGTCCATCTAAATCTCCAGAAGGTAGAATAAACAAAGTTTTCAAATTAAATTCTTAAAGAAATAGAATATTCATTTTCACTTGGAATATCCTTTTGATCATGATAATCACCGGCTAATGGCTCTCCATCAAAAATAACTCCAAGAGCATCACTAATTACAATTTTTACTGAAGCATCTTCATCTGGAGGATTAATTTGATTACTACATGGAACTGCAATCTCTCTAATACCAGTCATTGGATTTTTAATATTTGAATTAGTAGCATAACACAACTACTTTAAAGTTATTGAAGAATAAGTTCCAACATTATGCCAATCCACATTTTCTAAATTAAGGTTAGTAGATTCAGTAATTCTACTCTTTATCACATAGGTATCTCTATCAATAAATTTACTACAAGTAATTCTTGATTTTTCCATTAATACCAAAATCTTTTTATAAGCCTCCCAACGTGGTCTAAGTCAAGTGTGTTAATGTAGTTACGTCGAAATGACTTTTTCCAATAATGCTTTAATTCTTTCAGTTATTATTTTACAGTTCATTGGTCCTGTCATCTTCTCTCTAGCATCAACGAAATTGAATACCCTAATGGAAACAAATTAACTGAACTTCCACTTGTCCAACACCAAACAAATGAACATAAGCCCCAGTGATTACACAAACAAAAGAGAAAATAAAAGAAGTAAGAGTTAAAATAACTATCTTATCAATATTCAGGTTATACATTATTATATTTATATTCTTATAATTAACAAGAACTTAATAAAAAAAAAAGAAATTACTACTCAACTAAACACTCTACAAAAGATTTCATTTAAGACTCATCAAATCAAATTTCTTTTTATTTAAAAGTTGTATTAACCATTACTATTTTTATCTTTACAAATAAACACCAAAAACAAATAAATAAACTATTCAGTGTAATGTTTTATCTAAATTATATAATTTATTAAATCAATAAATAGTTTCATTTTAATTGATTTATTATTTTATTTTTAGATAAAAATCTACAAATAATAAAAAATAGTCAATTAAAGATTTTTTTTTGATGATTGATTATTTGTAAAGATAAAATAAAGATTTTTTATTAATTATTAAACGAAAAATTTACAAGATAAGATGAAGAAATAAAGGATATTTCCAACAAAATAAATTACTATAAAAACAGCACTAATAACTGAACAACAATTTAATTGTTATTGAATGATAACTCTTAAAATAAACTAAAAATATAGAATAATTACCATCAATTTAATAATTTAAATTCTTTTTTCAATTGTTGATTAGTCATTCCTGTTTCTTTTTCAATCATTTTCTTTTCTTTATATTCAATCCATTTAACATAAGCTTGTGTAGTACCACACCCAATAAGTCCAATTAACCCAAAAATCATTGATGAATAAATACACCATTCTGTTGTTAATAGTGTTGAAATAACACCAGCAATCAATGGTGATAAACTATAACTCAAACAACTTGAACATTCACTAATTCCCATATACTTACCTTTTTCTTTTTCAGAAGCATTAAGAGAATAAAACATATTTTCTTCCATATCAAATCCAGCGATTAACCCAAAAATAGTACCAAGAATACAAAGAATATATCCATTATTAATAAATAAAAATCCTGTTAAACATATCATAGAAATTAATAAACTAATAATGTTTAATGTTATTTTAAATTGCCATGCTTTAAATAATCCTAAAATAAAGAAAGCAACTAGTTGTGCAATATTAATTACAAATAATAAAATTCCAACATAAACATCTGAATTATCTGAAAATCCTGGAAGATGTGTTTGTTTATCAGATGCTAAATTAACGTATTGATTTTGAATAATACCAACTGTTCCATAAATTATTAAATGAAAAATAATATCATTAATATAATATAAAAAATAATGTGTTGGTCTTTTTGATAAAAATTGAATAGTTTTAATATCTTTTATATTTATACCTTCTCCTTTTTCTTCATCTAATATCTTATTTGAATCATTAATAATAGCTCCTTCATTCATTTGTTTATTTGAAATTTCTGAAATGGTTTCTTCTTTATTAGAGTTAGGTTCTTCTTGAATAATATTTGTTGACTGATTTTCTATTTCTTGTTGTGTTATTAAAGAAGTTGAAGTATCTAATTCAATTTCTATATCCTTTAAATTTTCTTTTGTTTTAATATTATTAACTAATGGAAAACGAGTCATTACAAAAAATGGAATAAATCCAATAAGACATGAAACATACAACGTTCCAGTTGTTCCTATTAACGCTTTCAATGATCCTGCACTAAAAAATCCTATAGCTTTACCTCCTGAACAAAACATAAAAAAGTGACCAATGTTCTTACTTTCATGTCCTGGAAATGCTTCATTTCCAACCATTGATTCTGTTGGAGACCAAAACAATGCAAATCCTGCTGATTGAATAATCAAAATGAAATACAATGGAAGAACAGAAGTTGCATGAATAAACATTAATCCAATAATAAGACATGTTAAACAATGTAATAAACAACCAAGAATAGCTAAAGTTTCTGCAGGAATTTTATCAGATAACCTTCCACAAATTGGGGCAAAAAGTCCTTGTGCACCAAAAGCAACAGCACCTACAAGTCCAATCTGAAATGGAGATGCACCAATATCTCTCATTAGTATTGGGATAATAAGCCAAAAACAATATGCTGAAAATGAAAGACAAAATCCACATACATATAAACTAGTTAAGTTATAAATATGCCTTAATTTCAATTGAAGGCTTGGCTCAGTCATGAAAAGACTCAGTGAAAGTATTAAACCCTTTTTATGCCTTTAATTACTTTTCCTACAATAATCATTTTTGTGCTTTTTTTTCAATTTATATTTCTCAAAAAAAATTTTATTAATTTTATTAAAAAAAAAGAATCGTATTTTTTTCAATTTATTTCTTCTATTCTTCTATAAGTAAGTACTTTATTAACTTTAAATGTACAAAAAATTTGAAAGTTGTTGATTCTGTTTTTATATTCAATTATTTTTCTATTTTCATTTTTACTCAATAAAAATTATGATTTTTATCCGTTTGAAAAAAACTATTATTATTAAAAGTCACAATAAAATTAATAAGGAACTATATAATCAATTTAAAGATTTGATAAATGATTGGCCATTTTTTTAAGTTCTTTTAAAATGATTGGTTGTTTTAAAGACCTAGATCTCTGAACTCGAAAATAAGGGTATTTAAATGAAATAGTGACAGAAAGGAATCAAGTAATATTCCAAATGACTATGAATTGTCCTGAATCATCACTCTCTCGTGACCGTAAGAGAATTTCTAGAAGTAGTGAAGCATGCATAACTAATGCAATAGTTTATGTGTTTATTTCACAATTAAATACTAGTGCTACATTTAGAAAGACTAAAAGATCCAAACAAACAGTAAAGATGTATTTACCTGAAACCATTAATTTAAATGGTACATTGTATGATCAAAATACACTTGCTTCTATGAGTGATTCTTTAATTAAAGAAATAGTTGGAGAAGAACCTATGGACATTAAATCTATGAATGACAAACAATATAATAGAAGTAAAGAAGCACAAATTAATAATGGATTATTATATCTTTTAAGAACCCTTGGATATTCTTTTGATATTAAACAAACTAAAAAGACTAAATGTACTGAACGTTTAGTTAAAATTAATTCATTAATTACACCTTTTGGTGATATTATTGAAAGAGAATTACTTGAATCTGTTGGTACTTCATTTAGCAAACAAATTGAAGAAATGTTTGGTAGAGAAATGACTATTACTGTTACTAACGAATCGTTACAAGCTAATCACGCTTCTATTCCTACTCTTCCATTTAGTTTCTATAAAACTGAAATGTATCAACAAAGTGTTGCTAAAAGTATTCCAATTGAAGGGTCTATTGTAGGTTCATATATTTCTGATGGTAATGAAATTTATTTTGTTCCAAATGAACAAATACCATTTAGTTTTACTATGTAATTTTGCAATGTAATTTATTTCTTACTATCCAATTTATTTGTTATTAAGGAAAAATTGTTTAACACATATTTTTTTCTTTTAAGATTATTTGAATTTTATTTTATCCTTTTTATTTACTAAATGTATTTTAAACACTACAATTAAATTGTTTATTGATATTTTGTTTCTCAAAGAATTGCCTTCACTTTTCTCTTATTGGGTATTACTATAACCTGTGTTTAGTTAATTAGGGCATGAAAAAGTAAAGTACTATGGCCTAGATTTTCCAATGGTTTTAATAAGAAACAGAGAGATAAGTTATTCCTTTTAAACATTCTTCTAAAATTAAATTTGTCTTAGTTTGTTTTTAAACTATTTGATAATCATTGAACAAATGATTACTTTTTATTCATTTTTCAGTTTATTCTTTATTAATAATTCAAATAAGTTTTTTATAACTTATGCACTTAATGAAAAAATAGTTTTCTCAAATACTTTTCCATAACAAAGTAATTTTCAACTGTTTGAATTCCTTTTTTTTTATTGAACATAACTCAAAAATAAGGTTATGACAATTCTTACTGAGTTAAATTTTGCAACTTTTGTCCTTTGTTTTTGACGAAATTATATAACAAACTTTTTCTTCGATTTTTAAATTCTTTATAGAGTGATACTTTGGTTTGGACTTACAGCTTAACAAACCAGTCAATAGTTTTATATACTTTTTTGAATTTTTTTGGTTAAAGGTATCATTTTATGAAAAGGAACTTGAAAAATATATTTTATTTCTATGTCTTCGTTCGGTCGGTTCATTTCTATTGCTTCTGATATCAATGCTGAAACTGTTTCATTAAACCCAACAGAAGAAGAAACAGGAAAAACGTATTATTGGGATAGTGAATCGTTCTCCTTTGTATTTCAACATTACTCATGGGTAATAAACAAAATTTCTCAAAACTTAGAGTTTGCAATTTTAATATGAAATTCTTTATTAGTTATTTTTCTACGACTCATAGTATTAACAATTTTATAGGTTGGCTGCGTTTATTGGAGATAATTTAAATTCATACGTTTTAGATGAATATATCAATATTGTTATTCAAGTATTCACAATGAATGACCGAATTCTTCCTTTTATTAAATTCCTTATAAATGTTTGCCGTTTCATTCTTAGTTATATCTTTTTTTGTTGATAACTAATCAACTATCAAAATAAATAAAAGTAAAAATTCACTAACTAACCAGAGAGAATTTGAAGAATCTCATTCTAGAGAAGAGTTATTTCGTCAAAATACTCTTTGTACTCGTATTTTAACTGCTTATGCACGAATTACTTCAAAAAAGTTTTTAAGCACAACACTTAAAAACAGTGTTTTAAAAATGGTTAACACTAACCAAAGTTTCGAAATAGATGAACTGTTTGTTTATACTTTTTGTCTTTCAACATAAGTAATAACTTTGTTTAGAAAACTTCTTCCAGGACAAATTTTAGGATGTAATTTAGCTGCTCTTCAGTCTTCATGTAAAGAAACATTAGAGAGTATATCAGCGTCTCGATGTGATGTTCCTATTGAGATAAGAACTATTTGTAATTGTCTTTGGGAGAATTGTTTAAAATATTTTAAAGATGATAAAGAACTTCCTTCTCAAATAGTAGGAGGATTTTTATTTCTGAGACTGTTTTGTCCAGCTATTGCATCTCCTGAAAACTTTGGTCTTCTTGGTGTAGAAAGTAAGGTATCACCAAAGGCACGAAGAAATCTTATTCTAGTAACTAAAGTTCTTCAAAACATTGCTAACCAAGTAACTATAGCAAAAGAAAAGTATTTAGAAAAAACCTTTCAATTTTGTAAAGAACATTTCAGTATGGTTAAAGATTGTAACCAATATATCAGTACTCAAACAATTATTATGACAGCCTCTGTTGATGGTTCTGTTAAATTCATCAACGTAGCAAATATTAAAATAACAAAATTGTTTTCACTTCATCAAATTTTATATTATTTACATAATGAACTTGCTAACAAAAAGATTAATGCTAATGATGTAGAAAGAAATTCTATGGAAGAGGCATTTGATGTTATTGGAGTTCCACCATTTCTTTATACAAAGAAAAGTCAAAAAGATAATAGAGAACAAAGTGATATGGAATTAGTTAGGTTACTTGAAAAAGATCAAATATTTTATAGAGGAGATTCACTTCCTAATGGACAACTTGTGTTTTATATTGCTGTACACAAGTTTATTATATTTTTAAAGTCGTTAAGTTCTAATGAAAAAAAGAACGAAAATTTAGATTTTATTGATATTTTGATGATTCTTCTTACAAATGCTGTTGAACAACAACAATATATTTTTATTCTTGATTTTAGTTGGTTTTCTACTGAAGAAGTAACAGAGAATATTGTTATTGATATTTGTTCAACACTCACTCTTATACCAGAACAAATGAAAAATAATTTCGTTCATGCGTATGTTCTTCATGCTGGAAAAAATGTTAAAAAGATGTTAGAAGCAATGGTAGTTAATTCTGGTGTTTATGGACTTCCTATTGGATGGAATAAATTAGTTGATATGGTAGATGATTGGCAAGAATTAAGTAAAATATTTGGAACAACAGAAATTATGATTCCAGACTCTTCTAAAGCATTTGTTAAAAGAGAATTTCACGCACTTAAAATAAATCCAAAAGGTAAAGCTCAAGACCGAATTGTTTTAATTACATTTGATGTACTGTTAAATATTGATCCTATATCTAAATCTATTCTTAATGAAATTCCTTTAAATTCACTCACTCGAATAGATGCTTATGAAAAAATTCCTCATATTATTCTTCACTTTAACGAAATTACACCAAAAGAGAAAAAGTCAAATACTTCTAAAACAGAAAGAAGATATATTTTAAATAATATGAACTCCAGAGAAATATTATTAACACAATTGTTTGCTGTTTGCTTCTATAAAGAAATTCTCACAAAAACTAAATTAGTTTATGATATCCTAAAAAAAGGAAGTTACAAAAAAGGTTCTGGTAAAATTGTTATTTGTTTTGACCGAATTATTATTGTTAAAGGAAATACAATATCCCATGATATCCTTTACGCCTCATTAGAAAAAATGTGTATTGTTGATAGTTTAAAAAATAAGGACGTTAAAACAATATTCTTTGAATACAAAAATTTGAAAGGAGGTGTTATTGAAAGTGTAACAAAGAAATATAATATTTCAAAAGAAGATATAGGAATTAAAGATGTTATTCAAAGTTTAATATCAGGTGAATTTTGTAAAACTTCAGCAATAAACATTTAAAAGTTTTAATTAATTTTAATCTATATTATTTTTTTGTTATCAAAAACAAATCAATACTTCTTTTTCTTTATTAAAATAAAAGAATTTACTTATATCATTTAATCTAATTCTGTATGGAAATATTTTCCTTCTCTCTTTTGTTCTTGATCTTTTTGTGAATTTTCTTTATTAATTCTTGGTCTATAATTGTCTGGATCCCGTCTGAATGTAATGTTCAATGATTTTAAGAATGTGTTCATTCCGTCAACCATATTAATTGGTGGATTTGCAATACATTCTTCTGCAGGTTTACCTTCATATACAACGACTTTATCAGCAAGATAAGTAGCCATAATAAAATCATGTTCTACAATAAATGCAGTCTTTTTAGAATGAAGAATGAATCGTTTAATAACTTTAGATGCAATAATTCTTTGTTCTGAATCAAGATATGCTGATGGTTCATCAATTAAATAAACATCTGCTGGTTTTCCTAAACATAACACTAATGCAACTCGTTGTAACTCTCCTCCTGAAAGTGTTTTTAATTTATGACTCAATAATGGTTGAATGTTTAATGGTTTAATAACATCAGTATTAAATTGTGGATGAGAGAACATTGTTTTAATTTTCTGTTCTAATAACTCTTGAACAGTTCCTTCAAACTTTGGTGAAATCTTTTGTGGTTTATATGATACATTCAATTTTGGAAGTTGAATACTTTCATCATCTGGAGATGTTTGACCTGCTAATAATCTAATAAATGTAGTTTTACCTGTACCATTTTGTCCTAATAAAACAATAATTTCTGATGTATCAAATCCTCCTGCTTTAACAGTTAAATGGAATTTATCAAGTGTTTTAGTCATAGCAGGATAATGGTATTTAGTTTCAGTAGCTCCTCCTTTTTTCTTACTATGTGCTTCTTCTGCAAGACTTCTTTGATGTTCTTTCTTTTCTTCCTTTCTCTTGGCTCGAGCTTCTTCAATTTTAGCTCTATCTTCTTCTTTACTTTCATCTAATTGTTCTGTCTCTTCACCACGACCAGAATCTCCAATCTTAAATTTAAGTGCTTCTTCTCTAAATCTCATATTTTCTGTTGGAATAAATCCATCAAGGAAGATATTAATACCTTCTCTAACAGAGAATGGCATTGTACATACACCATATGCTCCTGGACTACCATAAAGCATTACAATAAAATCTGACATATAATCTAAAACTGATAAATCATGTTCTACAACTATAACATAATTTTCTGGAGTAATTAATGAACGAATTAAGTGTGCTGCCTTTAAACGTTGACTAACATCAAGATATGATGTTGGTTCATCAAACATATAAATAGTGGCTTTCTTCAATGCAACAGTAGCAATAACAAATAATTGCAACTCTCCTCCTGAAAGGACTTGAACTCTTTTATTAAGAATTCTTTTGATGTCAAGAATTTCAACAACTTCATCAAATGCATTTCTTTCATCTAATGCATGAAGAATTTCTCCAACTGATTTAATAGAATTAACAGTTCGTGGAACACTATCAACATATTGAATTTTCATTTCTGCTTTAAATTGATCATCAAGAAGTTTCTTAAAGTAATTTTGTAAATCACTTCCTCTATAATATTTAATAATTTCAGCCCATGAAGGTGGATTTTTATATTGTCCAAGATTTGGTTTAATAGATGCTGCTAAAATCTTCAATGCTGTAGATTTACCAATACCATTAGTACCTACTAATCCAAGAATTTGTCCAGGTCTTGGCATTGGTAATCTATGTAATTTAAATGAGTTTGGTCCATAACGATGAGTAGTACATTGTTCTAAATTCTTTGGAAGATTAATGATTTTAATTGCTTCAAATGGACATTTTTTTACACATAAGGCACATCCAATACATAACGTCTCTGAAATAACTGCTCGTTTATCTTTTGGAAGTACTTCAATACAAAGTCCTCCTGCTCTATTAATTGGACATGTCTTTTTACATTCTAATCTGCACTTTCCTGGTTTACATCTATCATTAATTACAGCGATACGATCAAGAGTATCTTTAGCATGTCTATCTTGACTCATTTTGAAGGAATTAACTTCTGAACTAAAAAATTTGTAGGGTTTTTTTCTATCAAAAACAAATTCTATTTATTTAATTACTTTTTTTTTAACTTCTTCTTTTCCTTTTTTTATAACAATATTATTTGTTTTGTGCTTTATGTTTTATGAATAAAAGACTAACAGATTATTTTTCAATACATAGAATACAACTATTATATTATCATTATTACTGAATAACATTCTTGGGAATTGTAATGAAAAAAAGATCTAAACATACAAGGGGATATAGAAGAGTGAACTTCAATAGTAATTAAATGTATATGAGAGTGTAATAAAAATGCAATGAAAAAGTGAATGAAAAGATAAATATGAAATGAAGATAAAAACATGACTAAATATAATGATAATAATAAAGACAACATCAATAAGAAACATAAAGTATTAACAAATAATGAAATTAAAGTGAAGATAAGAAAAAACAAATAAATTGAAAGATAGGAATATGAAGAAACAAATATAAGATATGATGATAAAGAAAGTAAATGATGATTAGAACAAGAAGTGTGTTCATCTAAAATAAAAGGAATACAGAGAGAGTTAAAGATAAAATTAAAGAAAAAATAAAAGGTGAAGATAACAAAAGAAAGAAGAAAGAATAGTATTAGTCAAAAGTGAGAAAGGAATAAAAGATGTAGAAGTTGAAGAACAAGAAAAAAATAAAGGAAAACAAAGAGATTGAATAATAAGTGAAGTGCTACATTTTGCAGTTAATTGGTTAAATATAAAGTTAAATAAGAAAATAAGAATGAACAAATAGAATGTAATAAAAATCAATTAATTAAGTGTTAATAGAATTTGAATCTATTAATCCTTACTCAAAGGAGATTCAACAACGTATGTTTGGTTGTGGTAGAAACATTGTTCCATGACGTCCATCATGTTTTTAATTACATGGTTTTTAATTTCTTTAGTGATGTCAATTTCGATTTTTAATTGTTTAATTAATTTAATACTTTCCGCATTTACTAGCCCATTAATCGAATTTACTACTCCAATTATTTTGACATCTTTTAATTTCTCTATTTTCATTACCCTATTTTTTAATTCCTTATACATATTTCTTTTATTCAAATAGCCTCCATTAATATTATGATCTGCCACAATATTCATATCAATTATTAGACCAGTTTTATTCTTTTTATCTAGTACATATATATCTGGTCTTTTATGATATAGTCCATCACTTTTTTGCATTATTTGTTTGTTCCATATCATAATGATGTCATTGTATTGGAACACTGTTTCATATGGGGGTTTCTTGTATTGTTTATTTCATGTGTATTTTCTTATTAACCCCTCCCATATGATAATGCCAATATGGTCATGTTTCTCCATTTGTGATTTTTTATGACCAATACAAGATAGTAGAGTGTGTTCTACTGTGGCTATCTTGTCTTTACAAAGTGGGCAGTACTTCAATCTTTCATTTTTTAATATTTTTGCTTTCCTGTACCCACTAAATATTGCTCCATCTTGCATTTTAGTTAATTGGAGAAATGCATTTTTCTTTATATTGATGGACTTCCATGCATTTATTGTAGTAGTTTTATCTACAAATTTTGACTCGAACCATCTTCTAAAATGTCCACTTATTTAATTTCAATTTTTTGATGTATTTGTTGATCATTAATTTCTTTATTTTTACTCCTACTTCTTTTTCTTTTTTATTTTCAATCCCTTCATTTATTATTTCTTCTATTTTCGTTTCTGGGATCTTATGACCTAGGGCTTTTTTAATTCTATTCCATATTCCTTTCTTGGAATACCATCTATCTATTATGTTATTTCCTATTTCACTCTTGTACATTAGTACATTACTCTTCTAATTATTTCATTAACATATTCGTCCCTTAGGCTTATTAATCATTCACCCATTTCATTTATAGGGACATATAGATGGTCTTTGGAGTTACACCAATGTATTTTGCCTTTCTTATATTTTCTTATCTCAAAATCCATTCTATCTAGGTCAATTACCTTCCAATTTACTACTGATGCTGAATATCTGAAGATGGGTATTACTTCAGTATTAATTCTTGTAATATAACTTCTATTACTACATTCATCAGTATTTATCTCTTCCATTTTCTTCATCATCTTTTCTTTGATGATTTTACAATTGAAGGTATCATTAATTTCATCGGACTGCCATACTCCTAAATATTTATACAAGTCCTCTCCTTCAATTATTGGGATGTTTTGCATTCCATCTGGTATTTTATTAATGTTCTTTATTACCATTCCTGATTTCTTTTCATTCATTTCCATCCCTATTCCACTTATTATTTGTTTAATTTCATTGTGGATTGTTCCCATTTCTTCACTACTTTGTGTCATTATTCTCAATTCATCCATATATAATGTATGGTTTGCTTTTGGGAACTTCTCTTCTATGATTTGAGAAATTATATTCATTTGGATGATGAAGAGTAGAGGGGATAAGGAATCACCTTGTAAAATTCCTCTCTTCAGTTTAATACATCCTAGATATTCATTATATTTATATCCTATGAATATCTTCCATCTGTTCATCATACTTTCTACAATGTCTATGATGACACCCTCTACATTAAAATATTTAAGTGCTTCTATTACCCATTCATGATTTACTGTTTCATATGCTTTCTTAATGTCATAATATGACTCTACATATTTTGGGTATTTCTCTTCTTTCTGCTGCTTTAACATATAACTGTTAATTAATCCTTCTTTAGCAGCAAGAGATTGCAGTTTACATCCCAATTGATTTTTACTAATTTTTAGTGATTCACTATTCATGTTAATTCTATTGTGAATCTTCTCTTTCAATATTGAGGTAAATACTTTCATTATTACATTTGTACAACTGATAGGACGATAATTAGTGACATCGTTCCTATCACCTCCTTTGTGGATTAGTATAGTTCTTCCACTTACCATGTCTAAAGGGATGTTTTCTGGGAAGTTTAACCATTCATTGAATATATTAAGAATGGAATCTCTTGATGATGACATTCTCTTCCAATAATACAAATATATAGTGTCAATACCTGGTGCTTTCCAATTACTTATTTTCATCAGGCTTAGATTTAAATCATCCATTGTGATGATGACACTATCATAATTTCTGTATCTTTCATTCCACGAGGTGATTTGTTTTATTTTCAAATGTTCTTTATTTAATATCACCTGTGTTTCATATAACTATTTCAAATATTCTAAAATAATATCGTTATTTGGGTATATTTCATTTTGTGGGTCTTTCTTCTTTATTTTGATTTTCTTATTAGAATCAAACATGATTTTATTTGTATTGATTCTGACCCTTTCATTCTTATTAAATTTAATTCTTTCTTTAATCATCCATCATATATTTTATGTACTTTATTCATTCTTGTGATTTAATTTTAATTTCATCTGCATCTTGTTCATTTAATCTCATGATGCATTTTATTCTGTACCATTCCATTGATTAGATCTTCTAGTCTATTTATTTTCTTTATGATTTCTTTTACTTCATCAAATTTATCTCCTATAAATTTATTTTAGAGATAGTAATGCATACACATTGAAATCCTTTTCATATCTTCTTGCAGATTTTCTATTCTCCTGACCATACCCATTTATTATTAATTTCTCTAATTAATTTATCTGATTCTTTCCTTTTCCAGTAGTAATTAATATTTACACATTTATCTATTTTCATTTCTTTAACTTGAGCGATGATAGAGTTAAGGTATTCATCATCAATATCAGTAGAGTTATTTTTTATGATAATGTTTTTTATTATTGGATTACACTCTACTTTCCCTTCTATGATTGAGTTCACTTTCATTTTAATATATCTTTTAGTTGTTTCTTTTATTCTATGTGACTTTTTAATATTATTAATGTATTCTTTATCATTATTTACATTATTATTTATTACTTTTATTATGCTTTCTATTTGTTCCCATCTTAATTTCTTATTTAATTTCTTATTTAACAAATTAGTTCAAAACAATACAACACATCAATTAAAATTCTATTTGTTTGATTTGTTGTGTTTTCTTCTCTCTTGACTGATGATCATTTCTTGTTTTTTGATACTCAGTGTTTTGCTCTCTTCTTCTTCTATTTCCAGAATTGTATTTTTCATAGGGGTAGTTTTGTTCATTTGTATTGTCCATGATGATGATATTCTCAATATTGGTTGTGTATTTATCACTAGAGTCATTGTTTTCTTCTTCTCCAGTTCCTTCTGGGATAAAAAATTTTCGATATTTTCTTGTTGTTTTGATATTAATTGTTTTTGTTCTTCATTTTCTCTTTGTGTATGGTCTAATTCTTCTTTTGTTTTTTCTGCAATCTCATAGTTTTGAATCGCACTTTTTTGATATACAGAGATTTGATTTTATTTATCTCTTATGTTTTTCTCTAGCAGCTTAGCACTCTTCTCCAGCTCGTCAGCCCTCTTCTTCTCCAGCTTAGCACTCTTCTCCAGCGCCTCAGCCCTCTTCTTCTCCAGCTCAGCACCCTTAAGGAATTCGTCCTTCTCTTTCTTCAGCCTCTCATAGCTAGCTCGGAGTGTTCGGATGGTTTCATCCTTACCTCCTACTTCTATGATCCTTCTACCATTTGCTTCATTAATTTTTCCCTGTAATGTATTATTTTCCTCTTTTAATTTAGAGTTTTCTTTTCTTATTTCATTATATGGGTTTGAATATTGTTTATTTGTGTTTTCATCTTTTTTATTTCTTCTTCAAACTCTTTCCTGACTGTTTCTCGTGTTTTTTGAATCATTTCATCTGAAATGGTTCGTTCTTCTTCCATCTTTTTTGTTTGAAGTTCTTTAATAGTTTCTTCTAATTCTTTAATTTTATTTTGAAGTGTGTTGATTTCTTATTGTTATACTCTTCTTCCATTTTCTCTTCTTTATCTTGTGTTTTCTCTTTATTTTCTTTTTCATTTATTATTCTTGCAGCTTTACATCTATCATTCATTTCTTTGATTGGATTTTTGTTTTTGATTCCTTCTTCGATTGTTTTAATATCTTCACTTGTCCAATCTTTTGTTTTATCTTTGAATTCTTCTTTGATTTTCTCTAGTGTTTTCTTCTTTCTTATTGAATATACTTCTTGGAGAATATTATACCATTTCTTTTCTTTACCTTCATACTTTTTAAGTAATTCTTCGTATTCTCCTTTTTCCCATTTTCTTGTTATTCTTTTAATTCTCTTTTGAATTTCTTTTGCTGTCAACCATTTAGGTTTCTTGTTTGTATAATGTTTATTATCATTATATTTGCCTTGTTTCTTATTCGTTTTTCTTTGTGTTCTTCTTTTTCTAAACCCTTTTTTCCTGTTATTTCTTTTATCATAATTATTATGCATTTTATTGCTATTGAAGTCCTTTCTTTTCTTTGAACTTGAATACCTGTGTCTTGTTTGATTTTCTTTACAAGACCCTATGGTATTACTCAATAGCCATGGCAACAAAATTTGTTGTATATTCTGCATTGATAAAAGGATCTGAATAAAAGAAATATATATAATAAATAAAAATAATAAAAAATAGATAGAAAAAGAAATAAAAAAATAAAATATAATAAACATAAAATAATAAAAGAATAATAAGAAAAGATAAAATAAATAATAAAAATAAATAAATAATAAAATAATAAACATAATATTTATATTAATAAAATATTAATTAATATAATTAATAAAATCAAATATAACATATATAAATGATAAATATGATAAATAAGAATAAAATAAACACAAAAATAAGAAATAAAATAAATACAAAAATACAAAAACAATTATATTCGACAAAAAATAAAATAATATAAAAAAGAAGAGAAAAGAAGAAAAAGATAATATAATTAATTATAAATATTATATGATTAATATATAATTGTAATAAATAATAAATAATAAATTCATATGATATAGATAGAAGATATAAAAATTAAATAAATAATAATAAATGATAAAGAAATAATAAGAGAAATGATATAATAATAAATAAAATATATAAAAGAAATAATAAATAAAATCAATATAAATAATAATAAATATAAAGAGAAAGAAGATATAAAATATAAAAATATAATCAAAATAAAAATAAAATAAAGAAATATATTAATATATAATAAAATATATATAAATAAAAATATATTCATATATAAAATAAAATATAAATAATAAGAATATAAAACTAATAAAATATGATAAATATAAAATATATAGATAAAATGATGATATATATAATATAAGAATAAAAATAAATATAAAAATAAAATACATAAATAACATAATAATAACATAATAATAAAAATGTATACATACATTGAATCAAATATCATTTCTGAATTATTTTTATTTCAGAACAATTTACCATAAAATGATATAAAATATAAACAAACATAAATGATTATAGAATGAGTATTTAATTTACATTTTTATTTTTTATTTTTTTTAGGAGCAAAATAATAAAAACTATTATTTTATTGATGTAAAATATTTTGCCCTTTTCTTTTTGGGGTTTTTTATTTAGATGCATTATTTCTTTGCTTATTTTGGTTCCCGTTAGTGTCATGTTTAGTTTTCTTAACAAGAATAAAGAACATTGCACAATATTTATAATAATAAAACTTGTTTTGTTTGAATTGAAAAACAACTATTAAATAAAAATAACAAAAATAATAAAAAAGAATGTTTTCGAATTAAAATTTAAGTTACAGTTTAATGAACTTAAAAATAAATAAAAGATGAAACCAAGAATGATAACAATGATAATTGATATTGAATATGATGACATGGATGTGTATTTGTATGATGGAAATGAATATGAAAGAATTGATAGAATGAAATATTTAAAAGAAGAAGAAAAGAAAATAATTGAAGAAATCATTTCCAATGATAAGAAGAATGTGAAAATTAGAAAAGAAAATATTAAAGGAGTAGAAATGATGATTAAACCAGAAAGTAAATTATCAATGATATTCAATAATATTAAGAAAGAAGTAGAAAAGAAAGGAGAAAATGAAAGAACAATCATTTGTATTCCTAATGGAACAAGTCAAGGAAATGAAAGAAGAATAGAAAATTCAACAAAACTAGGAAGATTAAACAATGTACAAATCATACGGAAATATCATATAATTGAAAGAATACTTTTAGAAGAATATAACATAGAAACACCAATTCTTATCATAGAAAATACAGAAATAACATATGGAAATATTAAAAAAGAAAAAGATAAGATAAAAATAAGAATAATAAATACTATAAGAACAAACAATACAACAGAAGAAAATAAAGAAATCAATAAAATAATAACAGAAGAAAAAGAAGAGAAAGGGATAATAATAAATAATAAAATTAAAAAAGGAAATAAAGAAGAAAACAAAATAAACACAAAAAGATGGAGATATAAAGAAATCAACGAAGAAACATATATTAAAACAATAATAGAAATGATAGAACAAGAAGAAGAATATTCAGAATATTCATCAGAAAGAGAAATGATAATAAATATCAAAAGAATAATATACAATAATAAAATCAATAAAGGAATAATTGGAAAAAGAAGAATAGGGCATAATTCAATAATGATAACATCAAAATATTTTAATGATATTAAAGATTTTATTAATTTAGAAATAGGAATTAAAAGATTTCAAAGAAATATGGAACGATTTCATTTTAATCCAATTCCATTAAATGAATATTCAAGAAGATTCTTTCCTAATATTGAAACATTTCATATTTATAATAAAAATGATAAAACATTTGATGATGGAAGAATATTTAAAACAATAATATGGTATACAGTAGATTATTCAACATATTTATTCGAAAAAGAACAAGGAAATATCTGTAAAAATATAGAATATACACAATATGATAGAAATAAATATGGCAATATAATACCACCAGAAGTTAAATCACTTGGATATGAATGTTTTTATGAATGTGATTCATTAAAATCAGTTAATATTCCAACAACAATTACATCACTGGGAAATTATTGTTTCAGTAAACGTGAGTATTTAACAGCGATAAACATTCCAACATCAGTTAAAGAAATAGGAAATAATTGTTTTTATGAATGCAAATCATTAACATCAATTAATATACCTCCATCTGTTAGTGAATTAAAAAAAGAATGTTTTAGTGGTTGTGAGGCATTAAGAACAATTACTATACCTACATCAGTTATTGAGTTAGGAATAGGTTGTTTTAAAAGATGTTCATCGATAATGTCAATTAATATACCATCACCAGTTAGTAAAATAGGAAATGAGTGTTTTTATAATTGTAATTCATTAACAAATATTATTATACCTACATCAGTTACTAAATTAGGAGATATTTGTTTTGAGCATTGTATCTCATTAAGTAATATTACTATACCAACATCAATTGTAGAAATAGAACGTGGTTGTTTTAGTTGGTGTTTATCATTAACATCAATTAATATACCATCATCAGTCAGTAAAATAGGAGATGAGTGTTTTAAAGGATGTTCATCATTAACTTACATAGATATTCCAACTTCTATTACATCATTTGGTAATAATATTTTTGATGGATGTATTTCATTAAGTAGTATCAATAATCAATTAACAACAATTTCATTAACCAATTATCATTTCAATGAATATAAACAGATAACTAGTATTACCATTCCAACAACAATTAGTAAATTAGAAGCAAACCACTTTTCAGAATATCTTTTATTAAAAGAAGTTAAAATTCCAACAACAGTCACATCATTAGGAGAACATTGTTTTTCTAAATGTGCATTATTAGAAACAATTAATTTACCAACAACAATAAGTGAATTAAGCTGTAATTGTTTTTATAAATGTGTGTCATTAAAATCAATTAACATACCATCGTCAGTTAGTAAATTAGGATATGAATGTTTTGATAGTTGTATATCATTAACTGATATTAATATTCTATCAAATATTAAAGAAATTGAAAGTCTATGTTTTTGTAGATGTTATTCATTAAGTAATATTATTATACCTTCATCAATTAGTAAATTAGGAGATGGATGTTTTTATAAATGTTCTTCATTGGAATACATTAATATACCAACAACAATTACATCAGTAGGTATTAATTGTTTTTATGGATGTTCAAGATTACCATCTATTACAATTCCATCAACAATTAATAAAATGGGACATTTATGTTTTTACAATTGTTTATCATTAACATCCATTAATATAGTTAATATAAAATTCATAAGTAAAGATAGAATATTTATTAATGAACCAGCACTAGTTAGTATTCAAATACCAGAAAATTTACATAAGATTAATAATAATAATAAAGTTTATCAACAACAAGATATTAATGAATTTATTATTCCGTTAACAATTAATGAATTAGATGATGATTGTTTTTATAAATGTTTATTGTTAACAACACTTCATATTCCAAGAACAGTTACTAAAATAGGTGATGAATGTTTTAAAGAATGTTCATCATTAATATCAATTAACATACCATCATCTGTTAGTAAAATAGGAAAATCATGTTTTTATGAATGCATATCATTAACATCATTTAACATCCAATCATCAGTTAGTGAAATACAAGATGAATGCTTTTACAACTGCACATCATTAACATCAATTAACATACCCTCATCAATTACTAAATTAGGAGATGGTTGTTTTTATGGTTGTTCATCACTAACATCTATTAACTTACCATCTTCAGTTAGTGAAATAGGAAATTATTGTTTTTGTTATTGTGACTCACTAACAACAATTAATTTATCATCATCAATTACTAAATTAGGAAATAGTTGTTTTTGTCAATGTACATCATTAAAATCAATTAATATACCATCATCAGTTAATGAATTTGGAAATAGTTGTTTTTATAAATGTATATCATTACAATCAATTAATATACCATCTTCAGTTAGTAAAATAGATGATGGTTGCTTTAGTGAATGTACTTCATTAACTAATATCAATATACCAACATCAATTACATCATTTGGGACATCTTGTTTCTTTAACTGTGGTTGTGATGAAGAATTAAAATATAATACGAGAATTCCAAGAGAATGTTTTGAGAAAGAAGATTAGTAATAATAAAATAACAGAGTAAAAGAGATGAAAAGAACAAATCAAATGATATATTAATTATAATATATTATTCTATTTTATCGTTTCATTAAACATTTCATTTTTATTGAGATAATGAAAAATGGATAATAAAAGAGTGTGTATTATTAATAAATGATATTAAAATGAAAGAGTGAAATTATTTATTCATTAATCAATATTTATTAATTTTATTTTAATAATTGAATAACTAAACATTAATAAAATACTTATTATAACTATTAAACAATCATTTTATTCATTTAGAATTAAATTTAAATCAGAAACAAAGAATATAAATTATATATAAATGTGTATGATTTATAAAAATGAGAAAAGAATATCAAATAAAAAAAATAAAGATGAAACTGAACGAATTTATTGTAAAAGTTTCAATGAAATATTGAAAATTTAAAACAATATAAGAGAATGAAATAAGGAATATAAATGAACACTTTCATATTTTTTATTGTTTTATTTCTATTCTATTAATTGAAAATTTAGTTTAAATAATGTTTATTTTCATTATTTCTTATTTTTCTTTTATTGTTGTTAGTTAATGTCTTTCTTTATATTAATTTTAACAAAGATGATATGATTAATGGTTATTGTTTATTCTTTATATATGCTGTATATCTTTCTTTAGTATCAATGTACATACGAATATTTGAATTTTATTTCATCTATCTTTATTGTTTATAATCTTCTTATTAGTAAGTTATTTTATGCTTTTTAATACTGAATCAATTTGTTTTCATTAACTCTTTTTAATATCCTTTAATATCTGATTTACATCTACATAGTAATTATAGTTAACTACCTGTCTAACTTCTCTTTGTAACTTTATTGTGATAAGATAACTGTAAATGAATCAAAATTTTATCATATATTTCTTTGATTCTATAATTTTGATAATAAATAACATAATTAATTGTTCTTATTGAGTAGATTGAATGGTTTATTATCTAAATTCAAAAGGAATAAAGAATGATTGTAATGACATCTAAAATGTTGTGATTACTCAGATTCACATTCATATGATGACACGAAAATAACTATTTTAACATCATTTTATGTATAACTGTTATATATCTGTTAATGATTTACTGAAATTTAACATAAGATCTTGATAAAATTAATAAGGAGAATTGAAAATAATAGTTTGGTTGATAAAATTGTTTCAAAGAAGTGAAATTAATGATTAATTAGAAATAAAAAAAATAAAAAGTTTTGTAACAATATAATGAAAAAAAAACAATTAAAAGATAAATAAAGAGAGAAAGAATAAAAAAAAGAAAAAAAAAATATAAAAAATAGATATATCCACAATTGGATTTTCTTCATATTGAGAAGTGATTGTTTCAGTTTCTTCAATACGCTCTATTTCTACAATAAATAAAGAGAGAAAGAATAATTAAAGAAAATAAAAAGAATCAACATTATTGTGGAATATATACCAAATTCTTATTATTTAAGTATTGAAAAAAAAAAAGAAATAAAAAATATTATTTTTTTTAAAATTAAACAAAAAAATTAAAAGGAATGGTAAAATACAATTAAAGAATTAATGTTAAATATGAAGGGGATTGAATAAAATCATTCATTCCTAATGCTTTTAATTGTTTAGGTAATAATAATTGTTTAGAAAATAAAGGTAAAGGAGTTGGTTGAGCAATAGAATTAGAAAGTAATAAGAGATTATTCATGTTATGTTGTAATAATAAAAATATTTCAGCTTGAATAGGAGTATTATTTTCTAATGCAAGTTCAATCATTTTTAAATAATTTTCATTTTCTTGAATAATAGAAATAACTTGATTTAAATCAATTTGATTTTCAGTTTTTTCTGTTGATACACTATGCATATCTATTGACATAGATCCAATATTTGGAGAAACAGATGTAACTCTTGGAGAAGCTTGATCACTTTCATGATTTGAACTTAAACAAGCAAGTTGTTGATTTATAATAATAGGTTGATATGAATGACTTAATCCAGTTTTAAGAATTGTTCCAGGTTTAAAAAGATCTCTTGACATAGATCTTCTTCTTTGACGTTGAATTGATTGTATATCACTTCCTTCATAAGCAGAATAATGTCTATGTTTAGATTTTTTCTTTTTTTGAATTTCAGAAACTTTCATAGTACTTGGTAATGTAACTTGTGTTTCTATTTTTCCTTCTTTTCTCTTATACATTTCATAAGGAATTTTTTCTGAATCAGGTAATAATGTCCAATTTGCTCTTGTAGTAATTTGTTGAATAGTTCTTCCATTTAATAGACCTACAAGTCTTAGAATAGTACTAATATTATTCCCTTCACTTTTTAACTTTTCTTCAAGTATTTTTTGTTCATATTCATTCCATTCCTTTTCTCCATCTTCATTTAAAACAAGATTTTTTGGATCATTTGGCATTTTAATAGCAGGTATTAGATGAACTACCTTAGCATTCATTCGTTTGGATATTAAAAAGAAATAAGTATCTTTTCTAGATCTTTTTTTTTCTTTCTTTTCATTATTTTTGTTCTAATTAACTTGTCAATAAACCATAATTTTTATTATAATTAAAAATATTTAATTCTCAATCAATGATTATCATTTTCAAATCTACTTCTTAAATCTGGTTCTATTCTTGTTATTGTTATATCTGAATGTTGTGGAATATCTTCTCTCAATTGAAATTCATTTTTAATACGTTTTTGTCTTAATGGTTGTCGTTCAAAAAGTTTTCGTTGAAGACTATGATTTGGTTCAATTACATGAAGAAAATTACAGAATCCATGTCTATCACATTCTCCACATTCATATTGTTTACAACGTGCTTCTTTAAAGTCAGTAACATGAGAATAACTTGGTTGTATCATTCTTCCTGCATAATATCGTGCAAGAAGAAATTTCATTGCTTCTGATGCATTCTTTTCATCTCTAAATCTTACATATACATTTCCTGTCATATGTTCACTTAAATTTCCACAAACAAGCATTTCATCAACTTCTCCATGTTTAGCTAATTCATTGAAAATGTCTTCATAAAAAATATTAAAATCCTTTTTTATTTTTTTCTTTTCTTCTTCTGTCATTGAATTTTCTTCTTTGTGAATATATGGATTATCATATAAATGTGTTAATAATATTGTTCTTGATATTTCAGGTTGAAAGTGATTTCTTGTACAACTATCACCATGTCTACATGCTCCAATTTTGAAGAAAAATGCACAATTAACTTTATCTTTTTCAGTACCATGAATACTAGCAAGGTCTTGTGCCATTGAAAATAAACAATTACTTATTTCTTTTTTTGAGTTTTTTTTTGTTTTATCTTTTTTTTGATTTTTTTTTATCATTATCTATTTGAATTCTTCTTTCATTTTGAATTATCTTTTTATCTCAACTGTAGTATAGTGTTTTGTTTATGTTTTTTTTTTGATTAATTTCTCAAGAGATTAGTTTTAATTTCATGTTTTTAAATAGTTAATTATTATTCTTTTAGTTTAACTAATTTTTCATTTCACTAACTTATTAGATATATTGTAATATCACATATCAATGAAATGGTATATACAGTAAATTTAAATAGAGTCTAAATTAGATAGATGAAACGAAATTCTTTGTTGTTTCTAGAAATAATGAGAAAAAAGTAAAATTTCATCAATATTATTTTTGGTAATCCTTGAATATATTTAAAACAAATTATTCTTAATTATTAGAACTGTACCAATCTCATAGAATAATACATCATTTGTTTTGTATTTCAAGTTAAACAAAACTTGTTTTGTATGTTATTTTGACATAGTAATACAATCTTTAATATGATTTATTAAAAATTAATAAACAATGTTAGTATTACATTGATAAATGTGAGTATTGAATATACATGATATATTTAACAGTATCAATGTTTAAATGATGAATGAGTGATGTCTTTTTTTTTACAATTAATAACAAATGGTGTTAATTTGTTTTCTTGAATGAAAGAGACTTTGATTGTTGAGAAAGTGGTGATGATCTTTTCATAAAAATGATTAGTAGAAGATACAGAAGTAATAAAGTATTTAATTCTTTCATTACTACACAGATCCAATAAAATAACTACCATTGAAAGAAATAAATAAAAACCATTTATTTAATCTTAACAAATAAATAATTCTTTTAAAACAAATAATAGCCAATAAATTATTCCTTTGAAATTCTTATTAAAACCTTACTTTTTAGTTTGTTTTAATCATGAATACTCTTTTAAATATAAAATAGTCATTGTATTTGAGTAAGCATAAAAATAATCCATGATTGTCAACTATTATACTACAAGTAATAACATTCAAGTTATCATGTTAATCTCTATGAATTATGTTTATGAAAACAAGTCATAATTCAATAATACGTTAATTGTTATGTGAAATGGATTTATATATGTTTTTATCTAGTATTTGAAATATTCTACCGATTGTTAATTGACTAAATACTGGAGAAGAAATATCTCATTTCTTTACCACAAAACATAATTCATATTCAAATAAACAAAAGAAATAAATGGTTAAATCATAAAACCTTCAACCAAAGAATTAAGAATAAATGAACTTTTCATTCATTCAGAAACTCATAATTATAAAAAATGAAATAAAATAAAAATGTTAATATTTAAGCATAACTATCATTTTAAATCATACTATTTCTATTATTTATACTATTAAAAACATAAGACTGTTTGACTATGCAAATGAATTATCAAAATAGAATGATATAAAAGCAAGAAATCACTTATATCTTATCTCTAAAACTTTATTACAGGAAAAATAAAATGATTAACAATTTAACAATAACTCTTAAAAGTAGTAATAATAATAAAATGGTTTATAATATTTTCAAATTCTTTAATTAATATTCAATATTTGGTTATTGAATTATTTTGTTTCTTCACATTAAAGAAGTTTATTAGAATAAAAGAAGACTTGTAATAGAACTTACTAGAAAATAAACAATACAATATTAGAATATTGAAATATAACAAAAAACATTAATACCTCTTTCGAATCATTTATGTCTTTCTTTTTAGTAAGTATTTGTTTTTATGTTTTTTGAAATAATTGTAGTAACCAATAAAGAGTATATCAATATAAAGAATAATAGTTTAAATATAATTATTATTCTATGTTCCAATTTACAGAGGTATGAATTAAAGAAAAACAAAAACATCTTGATTGATTTACATTCCAATACTAAACTTGAATGGTAATACTTATGTGTCGAATGTATTTGAAATAACTATGGATAGTTCAAGAAAGACTTATCTTATGAGAGAATAAGTAAATGTTAATGTTCTGATAATAGAAGAGTGTAATATTAAATAAATTATTAATCACTATTTTTTTAATGACAAAAAAAAAATGGAGAGAATAGATTGAGATTATTAAGATGATAAGTTATAGAAAGACAAGATAAAGAAGAGTATTTAAAGAGAAAAAGAGGAATAAGAAGAATGACAGAATTTATGTTTGTTGTTGCAAATAAATATAAATTGGAAAAAAAATTAGGGAGTGGATCATTTGGGGATGTATATCTAGGAACTGATGTAGAACTTCACAAAGAAGTTGCTATTAAACTAGAATTACTGAAATGTAAACATCCACAATTAAAAGATGAATTTGAACTTTATCAAAAATTAACAGGAGATGAAAAAGAAGAACATGAAGGAATTTCAGGAATTTATTATTTTGGACAAGAAGGAGATTTTAATGTATTAGTTATGGATTATCTAGGACCATCATTAGAAGATTTGTTTAATTATTGTGGAAGAAGATTTAGTTTAAAAACAGTTCTTATGTTACTTAATCAAATGTTAAAAAGATTACAATTTGTTCATTCTAAAGGATGGATTCATAGAGATATTAAACCAGATAATTTTATTATGGGAAATGGAGAACAATCTCATGTATGTTATTTGATTGATTTTGGGCTTAGTCAAAGATATCTAAAACAAAATAAAGAACATATTCCATATTCTGAAGATAAATCATTAACTGGAACAGCTAGATATGCATCATTAAATAATCATTTAGGAATAGAACAAAGTAGAAGAGATGACATGGAAAGTCTTGCTTATTCAATTATTTATTTACTTAAAGGAACTCTTCCATGGCAAGGATTACATGTTGGTAAAGGAGAAAATAGATATAATAAAATTTATTTAAAAAAAGTTGAAATTCCTGTTAATCAGTTATGTGAAAATCTTCCTTCTGAATTTGGTTCATTTCTTTCATATTGTCGAAACTTAAAATTTGATGAAGAGCCAAAATATGACTTTTGGAGACATATTTTTCAACAAGTTGCACAAAACAATTCTATTATATTTGATTATGAATATGATTGGGTTATTAAAAGGAAAACAGAAAAAGAATTTGTTTAAAATAATTAATAACCAAAAAATAAATTCTCTAAAACAATTTATTTTTAATATTAATTTGGTTGAACCAAATATAAATATAATGGAATTTAAATTATAATTCAAATTCATCTGAATTAAAATTATAAAGATGTTCAATTCTAAGAATATCTTCTGCTAAATTAACAATTTCAGTATTATTTGATGTAATAAATGAATCTACTTGTTCAAAAATATTTCTTTCATTTAATTTTGAAATAATTTGAATATTTTGAGAAGAAACTAAAATAAGAATTATTTCTAAAAGATGATAAATTTCATTTGATTCTTCTAATTGAATAAATAATATTTCAAATATATCAAAAAAATTATCAGTATTAATTAATGTAATAATAAATTGTGGAATATTTGAAATAATTGTTATAATTAAATATATTGTTGAAAATGCTTCTTTACAAATATTAATTGATTGATTAAAAATACATAAAATTATTGATGAAATAATTTTACTTGGAATTAATATTAAAAGAAAAGAATATGCTTCTTTTTTATCTAATTCACAAACAGTAACAAATAAATTTTCTACTATCCATAAATATGTTCTAATTAATGTTTCATCTACTAATAAATTTAAATGTATATTTGATTTTGATGTTTTTATTTTTAATGAATCACAAATCATTGTAGCATAATAAAAAAGTATTTCTATTGTTGGTTTAATAAATAAAGAAATTAAAAATGGATGTTCTGTTGCAAAAATAGTCCCTATACATTGAAAACAAACTAATGAAGTTGTTGCTTGACTAATAATAATTTGAAGATTAGAAATAATCTTTTTATCAATCGTTTCATTTGACATACTTAAAAGTAATCTAGTACAAATAATCCCTTCATCAACTACTTTAAATTTTTTAATTAATGGAATAAGTTGACATACTTTATTAATTGAAATAAATGGTCTTCCTTTGAGAAGTGTTTCAATTAAATATCCAACACTATTATTAATTATATCTTTTGCTAAAATTATTTCAATTAATTTAGTACGAATAACTTCATCTCTTAATTGGATATCATCATTAATCATATTAGATAAACAATTCAATGACTATATTTCTTAATCTTTAATTACTTTTTTTTTTTAATTTACAAAAAAAAGTTATAAAAACAAACAGTATTATAAGTATCTTCATTCTGATTAGGAAGAAATTCAATAATAAGAAAATGAATTCCAAATTTTTTCATAATTTCTATAGTGTTTTTATCTTGAGAAACTATATATTAATTCTATTTTTTTTTGAATATTACTAATAACTTCTGATAATAATTAAATAATAACAAACAATGATAATACATTTGAATAATTTGACATTTTATAGAATTGACATTATTTTCTTTAATAAGATTTATTGAATCTTGAATAATTTTATTAATATTTAATTGTTGTTTAATGTGTTCATTTTGAAAACATTGAATTATCTGTTGGATTATTGTTATTTCATCATTCCCATTATCTCCACTATAATTTAATCCTAATTCACCAATATTTCTATCAGTAATAATACACTCATCTTCTACAACTCTTTTTCTTTTGAGTAATGAAGCCCTTTTATTCATTCTAAGAGTATTAATACTTAATTCTCTTGTTTTACAACATTCAGCTAACGAATCACTTTTTTTTCTGAACATCTGAAAAAAAAAAAAAAGAAACTTTTTTTTCAAATTTAGTTTTTAATCTTCTTTTTTGGTTTAAAAACCATTTATTTAAAATAAATAACAAAACTAAATTACTTTTTGTCTAATAGTCTTAATCTGATTGAATAAAACTCTGCTAATGAAGGGATTTCTAGATCATTTAATAATATTGAAATATACTTTTCATAAACCACATAACATAATTCTCTAAATGTTTTAACATTAATTGAGGATTGAAATATAATTGTTTTTAAATTAATTTCAATTTGTTCATCAAGATTTATTATATTTTCTGCTAATAATACATTAACTAATAATGCACTTAATTCAATATAATTTCCTTTTAACAAAATTCTAATTGCATCAATAAATCCACCTATTTTCATTAAATTAATTGCTGCAGGAATATAATATCCTTTTCCTAATTGTTGAACAACATAAGGAATATAAATTGAAGGTACTGTTTTATCTAATGGTAATAATAATGTTGATGCATAAGCTGCTTGAAAAACTTTTCCTGTTTGAATCATTAATTGACAAGCTGATTGATAATTTCCTATATTTTCTAAAAGATGAATTGCTTCTTCTTCATGTCTAATATTTAATAATTCATCAATAACATCATTTAATGTATTTTCTAATAATTCAGGATGAGTTGTAGATGCAAAAAGAATTGCACATAATCCATATTCTATTTTTTGTGTTTTTTTTAACATATTAAGATATTTATTAATCATAGAACAATCAGTACTAAAGACTAATTCTAATTCATTTAATTTACTAGTTTTTTCAATATCATTTATTTCTTCATCTTCTTGTATTGTAATTTCATATTTTTCTAATCTTAATTTTTCTGTTTCATTAATTAATTTAGTATCAACAAATAATTCAGGATATAATCCATATGGTGGTGGTACAATTTCTTTAATTTGTGGTATAATTCGTTTATTAACTTTTATACTATCATTTAAAATTAATTTATTATTTTTTTGAATAATATTTTGATATTGTTCATTATTATTTCTTTGTTTTATTTGTTTAATATATTTATTTGTTAATTTCCAAAATTCATTAAATTGTGAATATTTTAATAATTCTGTAATTTCAATATATTGTTCTACTAATGATATTTCTTTTTTATTAATTATATTTAAATATTTATTATATTCATTTTTCATAATAATTGTTTTTATCCATATTCCTGAACAAATTTTTTGTTTATCATTTTCATTTTTAATAAAATTATCAATATTTATTTGATATTTATTAATTATATTATAAATTATTGTTTCTTCTATAAATCCATGTAACATAATACTCATTACTTTTCTAAATATTTTAGATGGAAGAAGATGTATTGGTGTTGTTTGAGAATTATCTTTTATTTCTATTTTTTCTTCTTCTGGAGAATAAATCATAATTTGTTTTACATGAGTTAAAACAACAGGTATATCTCCTTTAACCCAACACATATCAATAACTTTAATTCTTCTTTGTTGTAAAAATACATTAAAATCATTATTTAAATGATTAGTTAAATAATCATAAATAAAACAATTTTGATTTTGTGTAATAATTCCAATCTTTTTTGTTTCTTTTTTTAAACATGGAATAATATTAATAATCTTTTCTTGAATTGGAGAACATTTATCAATTTCATTAATTTTATTATTTTGAAGTTGATTAATTTTAACATTATAAATAATATTCTTACTATCAACAAAAATAAATGAATTCTCTAAAAATTTTGAAAGAACACGTATTTTTGATGAATGAGTATATATTTTTTCATTTATTACTTTTCCTTTAATATATCTAATAATTAATATATCTTTATCATTTGAACATAAAAATGAACATTCATTTAATTTATCTTGAATTGGAACAATAGATTGAATTTGAATATTAATTTGTACTGGTTCTAATTTATATAATTCATTTTTATTTTCCCAAAATTGAATTATATTAGTATATACAAAAACAATTATTAATCCATTTGAAGAAAATATTACTTTTTTAATTTCTTCTTTAGATATTGTAAGAGAACTTAAATAAGAATAACTCTTTTCTTTTTTCTCAGGAAATCTCATAATTCTATTTTCATTAAATCCAGGAGAATATTCACTTTTATTTCTTTTTTCAATTCCATAAAGAATAATTGTTTCATTTAAACAACTTATCCCTTTAATTGGACATGCAATATTAGGTGCTTTCATATTAGTTAATTTTTGATTATCAATATCCATTAAATATGTATCTCCACTTTCTGTCCCAATACATAAATTTGTTTGATTATAAGGAACTAATACAGTTGCTTGACATGAAAAAGAACAATCAGAAAATGTAATATTAAAATCAGTTCCATCATTACGAAGAATACTAATTGATCCATTTTGTAATTGAATACAAATATCATTATTAATTGGATTTCTTATTAAATGAAATATTGGTGGTAATTTCTTTAATGTATTATTAATTGTTGTTATTTTATTAAATAAAAGTTCATTTACATTAATTTGATATTGTTCTATATATCCATCTATATTAAATATACTTAATTTACTTTCATCTATAGAAAAACTGAATATAGATGGTGTTTGTGTTAATAAAATAGAACCAATAGTATTTGTTAATACAGTATCAAATATAACTAATTCTGATGATGTTAAAAGTATTAATTTTTGTGGTATTTTAGAATAATAAATAGATTTAATAATAGTAATATCTCCTGATTTAACATTTGATGGACAAGTATATATTTCAACAACTGTCATTTGTTTTGTTGAAATAATAAAAACTTCATACATTGTACAAATACAAATTTCATCAGGATCAAATGGATTTTGTTCAAAAGATATTGGACTTATAATAGAATTACTTTCAATATATTTAATTGCTTCTCCTGTTATACAATCATAAAATATTATTGTTCCATTTTCAAATAATGAAATAAAAATATTTGTTGCATTTTTATGCCATCTTAAACATTTAACAGGTGAATTACTAAAATTACTAAATGAAATTATTGGTGTATTATTAAAATAATCCCATAATATAATATTTCCTGCTGTATCTCCACTAATTAATTGAATATTTCTTTTATTATATGGTATTTCAAATGGATAATTATCTTGAAACTTAATTGCTGTAATATCTTCAATATGATGATTTAGTATATTAATAATAATAAAATTAAAACTATCCATCACAATCACATTTGTTCTTGATCCAAATGCAATAACACCATAATTCCAATCAATTGCTCCTTTATTATTTTCATTTAATGTTTTAATTCTTTGTGGATTTTTTTTTTCTTTATTACTACCAAATGAAACATTAAAAACATTAGCAAAACGTGACATTATCTCTTTGTATTTCAAACTCTTTTTAAGTTCACTTCTTTTTATTAAACTATTTTCTTAAAAAAATAAAAAAATAACAAAAAATTATATTAATTTATGTTATTAAAAGATCTAAAAGTATAATCAGAACTTAGAAAAGGTGAACATCTGATAAATCAATGACTGAACAAACACAACAACCAGTCTTTCAATTACTTGATGATACTACTTTACAACAAGTTGACCCTAAAGTTATTTATCAACAATATGAAATTCTTAGAAGAGAATTTTTGAGTGCTTTAGCATTTGTTGAACCAACATTTGATCTCAGTTCTGCACTTGCTGGTGAGTTACAAAGAACAATTAATGAAAATAGGATGTATCGAGAACAATATCTTAGTAGAAGTGCAGAATATCAAATTTATCAACAACAAGCATTAAAACAATCACAATCAATCAGAAAAATGGAAAAAGAATTTGATAAAAAGAAAACAGATACTATTGAAGAACAAAAAAATCTTCAAACCCAATTAGAACGACTTATTGGAGAATCTATAGTTAATAGAGATAATGTAAAGAAAACATATATTTCATTAGAAGATGAATTTGATAATTTATTAAGAGAAAGTCTTAGTGAAACTGTTGAAGCTATTAATAATTGTCAACATGAAGTAGATGTACTAAAAAGTCAAAAGAAACAAATAGAATCTGAAGAACATGTTGAAGGAAATATTGAAGAAATTCAAAGTTTACTTGAAAGTAGTAAAACTAAGTTAAGTAATGATCTTGAAGAGAAAAATAAAACTCTTAATGCATTGGATACTAAGATTATTGAAATCGAAAATAGTAAAAAAGAAAATACTGAACTTGTTAAAGATAAACAAATATTTATTGATAAACTTATTCATGATACATCAGAAATGGATAAAACATTAGAAGAATTACGTAAACAAGTAGCAGCTAAAAGAGCTGAAGAAGATAATAAGAAAGAAGAAATTATTGTTAAATCTCTTCCTCAACCAAATCATGTTGCTAATCTTGAAGAGAAGTTTGTTTTTATTACTCTCTTTCTAATTCTCTATTGTCATAAAAAAAAAACTTATAAAATACTTATCATTTTAGACTAATTATCGATTGGTTTAGTAGATTTGGAATTGAAGTTGGTGATTTTAAAACTTCATTTAATGATGGTCTTCTTATTTGTCAAGTTATTGACAAAATTAAACCCGGAGTTATTAATTGGTCAATGTATGCTCGCCCAAAGAATGGAAGAACTTTAAATATTTTCCAAAGAAGAACTAACTGTACTGTATTAGTTGAAACTGTACAAACACTTGGATTAACTAATACCGGTATTGGATCTCAAGACATTACTGACGGTAATGTAAAAATGTTGATGGGATTCTTTAGAGCTTTAATGGTTTGGGAGACTTCATTAAAGAAATCTTTATTAGCATGAAAAAGGATATAGACATCATTTTGTTTCAATAACGTTTAGTGGTTTTGAATTTTGTTTTAAATTAACTTAGTAAATAACATGATATTTTTCATTGAACTTTTTGTTATACTATAAAAACTTTTTTGAGTTTAGTCTTAATGTTTTATTGAATCAAATTAAAGTTTTGTTTAATTAAGTTTTTATAGAAATATTCAACTTACTTAAGAATCTCTTGTAGTCTTGAGGTAAAAAGTATTTACCAATTTACTGTGAACACAAAGGTTATTTCTTATAATACCATTTATCGGGCAGTGATGAATTTTGTGTTGTCCATACAGTAAAAGTCTTTCTTTTTATAACAATACAACAAAAGTAAATTTATATGACTGACAAATAACCAAATTTTTTAAGATGTTTTACAAGAGTAATTAGTATAAACATTTTGATTTATAAAAGGAAAATAAAATTTGTCATCTAATGAAACAATACTTAAGAAGAATCTTTGTAAGAACTATTTTCATCTAATATAAAGTTGTTAATACTTTCTATGAGCTTTTAAAAACAGTTTAAATATTAATTATTTCATAGAACACTTTCATAGAATTAAAATAAATTTAGAATAGAATAGCCATCCTAATGACTAATAAATTTCAATTAATGAACTTCTTTTATCATAATACCTCCTTACTAATTATTCTTTATCTTATTTTCATAAGAATTTAATACTTTTTTTAAAGGTATTTATTAATATGTTAATTTCTTCAAAAAAGAATTAACTGATTAGATGTTTTATTTAATTTTATAAACATTAAACAGATTACGTATAAAAAAAGGAATAATTTTTGTACAAATTGTAGTCCTCTTTTTGAAATACCTAATAACTCAGGTATTGAATTAATATTAATAATTTCAATTTCAATAAAATATAAGACTATCATAGAGTTTAATCTTTCATTCTTTGAGAAAATATCACCTACTTAAACTTCTAGTATTATTCTTTTAAATCAGTTGAAAAGTTTTATAATTACCTTTTAGATGTAGTGTCTTAATCAATAAATATCGTTTTTAATTAAACATAAATCTTATTATCTATTTTTCTGTTAAAACTCAATACACAAATGACTGAATAGCAAAATAGTTCAGAATTAAATTATGAAAATATTTGGGATATTTTTTGAAGAAAGAATGAAAAAAGAAGTAGAATAAAAAACCATTAATTTAAATTTGTTTTTTATAACATTTTTATTAAATAAAAAGTTTAAGAAAAAGAACTTAAAATAAAGAAGTCAAATAAAACGAAATGAATCATCAAGATAGAATGTTAAATGCTACCCAAAAATTAGACGAAGCAACTTATGACATTGAAATGTCTAATGCTATCGTTGAAGACACTATTTCAACACAAATGGATTCTATTCAAGAATTACGAAGACAAAGAGAGGTATTAGAAAAAGATAAAGATGCACTAGACAAAGTAAATAACGATTTAGATACTTCTGATAAAACACTGAAAGGAATGTTAAGAAGAGCAATTTGTAACAAAGTCTTTTTAATCATCCTTGCCATTGTTTTCCTCATTATCATTGGTGTTGTCATTTACTTAGGATTTTTTGTTTTTAAAAAACATTAATTTAAGTGTGTGTTTCTTTCTTTTATTCTTGGTTTATTTCTTTTTTGTCTTGTTTTAATGGTATGTAGTAGGTGGTTACTCTCCAGTGAAAGTAAACTAATGTTAAATACTACTGAAGACAGAATAGTTTTATTTTACAATTTGTACCAAATGGTACATAATAAATATTTATTATTAAATTTGAGCTCTTATTTGAATTGTTTTATTGTGATTTTTAGTTGATTAAAAAAGACAATGCGTTATGCTTTTTTACCGAATACATTAACATTATATCATTTACTTAACAATTCTTCTTTAAAACATGCTTTTCTCATATCAAATAATATAAAATAAAGGTATAACCACTTTTAAATAATACTCAAAACATAATAAATTCATGGCAATCCATTAAAATTCAATAACCCCTTATTTTAGATACACCGTGATATGAAGATGTAATCTCAAATGAAAAGTAAATATTATTATAAAATAAATATTAATTATTCATATTTACAAGAGAATTATACAACATTAAAAAGTTATTATTTGATTGTTTTCAAAGTATTTATCATCTGTTATAAGGTTCATTTGAATCACCTTCAAATTAAAATAATATTTTCTTATCTTAGTAAGAATTGAGTATAATAAATATTAGTTGTATTTTTATATATAATACTTATATCAGTTTAGTATAAAATAATTATTTTATTAATTAGTTTTAGACTTATTTCTACATTCTTATTATTTTTATTCAATTTATATTTGTTTATTTATTTTATGAACATATTTTAAATCATTGTATCATTTTTTTAAATTACAGCGTCATTAACAATATCATTTCCTAATGACCTATCTTATAACAATTTTACTTTCTTTCATAAAACTATAGTTATATTCACTTTATGAATATTTTTTCCATTTAATACGTTTTTATCAATAACTTATTCTTATATCATTTCTAAGTTTCTATTTAAATAAACACCATTTAATCAAGTTATTTTTCATAATTATGTCTTTATCTACAAGAAATAATTCGTTTATTTGACAAAATTATTCAATATAAATCAATATAAAACAAACAACAATGATAAAAAAAAGTTTAATTCAAAAATAATTTAACGTCTAAGATATTATTAACATTAAAATATGAAGCATTAATACAATAAATATATATTACATGTAATAAATTATATAAAATAACAAACAAAACAAGACTTTTAATTTCAAATACAATTCAACTAGAAATAATAAAATGAATGAGGGAAAATTATCTAAAAAAACTATAACCAAAATTAATTATAAAGAATATTTACAAAATGATTTAATCAAGATAACAAATTACATATCCTCTATTAAAATAATTCTTCTATAAAACTGTCATTACTTTATATAACTTTATTATTTAATAATTCGTAAGTATTAATGTTTATTGTAGAAAAGTACTTGATAAATTTGTTATTAAAGATACAACAAAAACGATAATAATTATCATTTAGTTGTTGAGTGTTATTAACTTGCATCAAGTTTTTATACATTTTAGATTTATTGGACTATATTTTAAAAAAGAAACATGATAACCAAATGCACTTATTACTTATGAATTACAATAAAAATAGAAAATAATTTTTGAAGAATGATTATTTTTATTAAATCAATGAGAACAAAAATTTTAAAAGTACTTAGATTTATAAGGAATAAAGTAATTTTAAATTGCTATAACAACTCTACTGCTTGGTTATACTGTCTACTATACCTTATCATCTCTTTTTATTAATATAAATTGGCACTATCTTCTTTTCTTGACATACACCACATTAATGTCACACCAAACACAAATAATTAAATTCGAGTAATTCTTTTTCTGTTCTTTATGGAGTTAGTTAATAGTTTAAAATAACTGACAACAACCTATAGTTAAAGAATAAAATATCTTTTTGATGGAAGATTATAATAAGGGTTTAAAAATTTTTCTAAAAAAATGAGAAAAAGTCGAAAAACTCATTAAAAAAAACTGTGAAAATAAGTATTTATTTTGATGCTTCACATATTTGAAGCTCTATGCCAAGGAATCAAAGACTATTTTACCAATTTCTTTCCAAAAGGGGTTCCTAAAAAGAAGTTATTTCCATTACTGTTGATGTTGTTAATTGAAGGGATTTCTCAAAACATCATTAACGCATACGTAGGATATCTTATTGTTGATATGGGGACTGTCTCTTCCTTAAATGAAGTAGGGAATTACAGTGGATGGTTAATAAGTTCATTTTCAGTTGCACAATTTACGAGTTCATTTATAATTGGTGCATTCTCAGATAACTTAGGAAGAAGACCAATGTTAATGGTAGGAACTTTTGGTATTGCAATTTCAAATATTCTTTTTGGGTTTTCGTTTAATTACTACTTTGCTGTTGCAATGAGATTTTTAAATGGAATGTTAAACAGCACTGTGGGTATTGTTAAAACTTATATGGGTGAAATAACTGATGATTCAAATAGAGTTCAGACATTTAGTTTTACTGGATTGACATGGTCTGTTGGTTCAGTTATAGGAAGTTTTCTTGGAGGAGTTCTTTATGATCCAGTGAATAAATATCCAACAGTTTTTGGTAAAATAACAATTTTTAAAAGATTTCCTGCATTGTTGCCACAGTTATGTGTTGCTTCATTCGGTTTTATAGCATTAATCCTTGCATATTTTTATTTATTAGAAAATAATGTTATAAAAAGAGAGCAAAAACAAGAATATCAAAATAAATGTTACTCAATCTTTAACTCTCTAAAAAATACATTTAAAAGAATGTTTAAATTCTTTAACAAAAAGAACTTTTGGAGTATTTATTGCTCTATTCTTTATTCAATTCATGGATTTGGAAATACCACATTTATGACAATTTATCCTTTACTAATGATCGCCTCAGTCGGAAGTGGTGGTTTTGGTTTAAAAACAAGTGAAGTTGGTTACTTTGCGGCTGTTGCTAGTCTTGGAAGTTTAACAACTCTTCTTTTCTTCTATAAACCATTAGTACGTCAATTTGGACTTCGTTTAACATATGTTATGACTATTATATGTACATCTATGTTTTATGGTATTTTCCCTTCATTAGAAGGATTTAATGGTTCCTCATTAATAGTCAAATGGGCAGTGTATAGTGCCTTTTCTTTCTGTTGGAACCTTGTAACTCAAAATGGATTTAGTTCAATTTCAACACTTCTTGTCAATGCTGCTGATGTTGAGTATATGGGATCTGCAAATGGAATTGCTCAAACATTTGTTTCAGCAACTCGAGTACTTGGTCCAATCATAATTTCTCCTTTGTTATCTTGGGGATTATCAAATGAGTTTTCTTATCCATTGAACCAGTATCTTCCTTTCTATATTCTTATGATAGTAGGAGTTATCAATTCAATGCTGATGTTATTAACACCTCCATCAATTGACTTTGTAAAGAATCATAACGAAAGTAATAATCAACAAGAAACTACTTACACTGAATTAGATGAAGAAAAATCTGAAAGTGAAAATAGACAATCTCTTGATATTATCACCCCAATAACTCAAATAAATATTATCCATTCTCAAAATGAATCAATAACTCCACAACTTGAACCTCATACTGATACTGTTATTTAATATTTTTTATTTAAACTTTATTTCTCATAAAAGTTCAACAATCCTCAAATAAAACATCTTAAATTTTATTGAATTTACATTTTATTGATATTTGATATAAAATTAATTCATATTAAAAACTATTTAATAGTATATAGTCAAAAATACATAATAATTGAACACCATAAGGTGAAGTTTTACTAATATTTATTACCTTCATTTATTTTATAAAAGAACCTCCAATAGATAACAAATAAAGAAATTAAGAAAAAGAATGAACTTATATTAAATTTTTTCAAACAATAACTTTTAGATAGAAAAAAATGATTTTTTGGAAGATATAAAAAATAAGAAATGAAAGAAATGAATTGAGATTTCAATCATATCAAATTGCATTATTTTGTCTCACAACAACATTTCTTAGAACAAGAGGAACAGAATGGCTTAATTTGTTTAAAGAAGTCATTACCTTTATCATCAACTAAAACAAAAGCCAATAAGTCTTCAACTTTAATTTTCCACACAGCTTCCATTCCAAGATCTTCAAAGGCAATGCACTCAACACTTTTAATATTCTTTTCAGCTAATAAAGCAGCAGCACCTCCAATTGCTCCAAGGTAAAAACCACCATGTTTCTTGCAAGCATTAGTTAACATTTCACTTCTATTACCTTTGGCTATCATTACAAGACTTCCACCATGTGCTTGGAAGTCATCAACATAAGGATCCATACGAGCAGAAGTAGTAGGACCAAATGATCCACTTGGATAACCTTTTGGTTGTTTAGCAGGTCCTGCATAATAGATAGGATGATCTTTAATATATTGTGGGACATCACCTGTTTCTTTTAAAATATCGTTGATTCTAGCATGGGCAATATCTCTTGCAACGATAATAGTACCACTTAATAATACAGGGGATTCTACAGGAAGAACAGTTAGTTGTTTCAATATTTCTGGCATAGGAACATCTAAATTGATTCTTGTAGGTTCTTTAGAAATGTCATGAGTAAGTCCACATAAGTATTGTTCAGGATTGTGTTCTAATTCTTCAACAAAAATTCCATCCTTAGTGATTTTACCTTTAATATTTCTATCTGCACTACAAGATACTCCAATACCAATTGGACATGAAGCACCATGCCTTGGCATTCTAATAACTTTAACATCTAATGCAAAATACTTTCCACCATATTGTGCACCAATACCAGTTTCTTGAGCTTTTTGTAATAAAAGTTTTTCCATATCAAGATCTCTGTAAGCTCTACCACCTTTATTTCCAGTTGTTGGTAATGAATCATAATATCCAGTTGATGCTAATTTAACAGTTTCTAAATTTTTCTCAGCTGAAGTTCCTCCAATAACAACAGCAAGATGATAAGGAGGACAAGCAGCAGTTCCAAGAGTTTTCATTTTAGTGACAATAAAATCAATTAATTTTGATGGTGTTAAAACAGCACGAGTTTCTTGGAATAAATAACTTTTGTTAGCACTTCCTCCACCTTTAACACAAAACAAGAACTTATATTCATTTCCTTTATCTGAATGAATATCAATTTGAGCTGGAAGATTACATTTAGTATTTATTTCTTCATACATTGATAGAGGTGCATTTTGACTATATCTTAAATTATCATTAATATAAGTATCATATACTCCTTTACTGATTGCTTCTTCATCATTACCTTCAACAAGAACATTTTCTCCTTTATGACCATGACAAATTGCAGTTCCAGTATCTTGACATAAAGGTAATATTTGATGAGAAGCAATAATAGCATTTTCAAATAATGCTCTAATGACAGTTTTATCATTTTCTGTTGCTTCAGGATCTTTTAATGCATCAGCCCATTGTTTTAAATGTTTTGGTCTTAAAAAGAAACTGACATCATGAATACATGTATTGGTAAGTAATCTAATAGCCTCTTTATCAACAATTAACATTTCTCTTCCTTCAAATTCTTTAATTCTAATTCCTTCTTTTGAGATACAACGATATTGGGTAGTATCTTCACCTAAAGAAAATAAAGGTGTATATTCAAAAGGTACATTAGTCATGTTTATTTTAATTAATTTTGTATAGTTCCAATACAATAGTTTAAGATAATGATATAGAATCAAATAGAAACAATAGATTATTCATTAATGTTCTGTCTATTCCACTCCTATAATTAAAATAATTGAATTTTATTTGATTTAAAAAAAAAAACAAAGACATTTTTCTTTAAGTAATTTATTTACAAAGTGTTAATATAATTAAAAAAAAATAAAATAAAAAATAAAAATTGTTTTTTAAAAGTGTCAATTTTATTCAATTTAGAAAATGAATTCACCATTTGAAGTTGATGTAGTTCCCATTGGAGTCATTCCTTGCATTGGTTGATTCATCATACCCATTCCACCCATAGCAGTTTGGGGTTGAATAGAAGGAGTCATACCTTGCATTGGTTGATTCATCATACCCATTCCACCCATTGGTTGTTGGATTGGCATCATACCTGGTGCAGCAGGAAGAGCTAACATACCGAATGGAGTATCTTGTTGAGCAAGTTGTGGTTCTTTTTTAGCATTTTGTCTATCTTTTTCAGCTTGTTCAAGTTTTTTAATTCTATCATTAGTATCTTTCATTTTCTTACACATAAATGGCATTGTTTGGTCCATTAATTTATTCTTATATCCAAGTTCAAGTGCTACTTCTGTTGGAACATAATCATAACAAACATTCAAACAATTTCCAAAGGCTTCTTTCTTATCTTGTTCTACAAAGAAATTTAATAAATCAGTAACTTTTTCTTCATCTTTAGATTTTTTAGCAATTTCCATAGCATCATCATCAAATCCTTCTTTCTTACATAATTCAATTGCACTCTTATAATCATCAGAACTACTATAAAGATATGCAGCAATTTTTCTAAATTCAATATCTTCATGAACTTTTAATCTATTAGCTAATCCAATTTTATTGAAGTTTGTATTCTTTTCAATAAGACTCTTTAAGCTCTTAGCATCACCATCATCAATGAAAAGATCAATAAGTGCTTCATTAACTGAATCATTATTTAAGTCAAGACAATAAAGAAGATATTCTCGAATAGTATTAAGATCTTTTTCTTTACGAGCAATAGAAATAACTTGAGTATGATCACATCTATGAGCTACAGCAATTAACATTTCATTAATTTTTTCTGGTTTTTCTGCAAGATAATATGATTCAGCTTTATAAATCATATCAATTCTTGGAACACTAATTAATAATTCTTTCATTAATTGATGATCAAAACAATTATCTGGATATGAAATCATAGTTTCAATAGCTTTAACTTGATCAACTTGAACATAAAGGAATACAAGTTCTTTCCATTGTTGATTCATATTAACTGTTGGAATAACTTTTTGACATTGAATTTTAGTAATATATTGTTTAAGATAATCATATAATTTTTCTTCTTTATATTTAGAATAAAGAATAGCTAATTCAGTAAACATAGAAACATGAACATTTTCAATTTTTAATCCTGCTTCAAGTAATTCAATAACTTGATCATATAATTCATTCTTTTCATAATAATAAACTAATTCAGTAATTTCATCTCCAGCAATTAAAATATTAATTCCTGTTTCTTGTGCTAATGTAAATTCTTTTGCATCAATACATGCAAATGTAACTTCTTTCCATGTTCTAGTACTATTAGCTTTTTTAGCAGCTTCTACAGCTCCAGCATAATCTTTTAATTTAAGTAAACAAGATGCTAATTTAATATAATTATTTAATGATGTATAAAGAATTTTAGCAGCTCCATATAATTCTTCATTATAACATCTTTCTGCAATAGATGTAAGATTTGCACAATTAGCTGTTTTAAGGAAATTTTCTATTTCTTCATTCTTTTTCAATTTAGCATAACAATATAATAATTCTGTTTCAACTATCATATCTTTAGTTTCTTCTTTACACATAAGTAAATAATTAATTAAATCTTCATATGATCCATCTGATTCTGCAATATCAATTACTCTAGATCTTAAACTAATATCTTTAGCTTTCATTAATGAAATAATAGCATCTTTAACTTTCATTTCATTAAGTTGTGCTTCTCCAAGTTTTTTATATAAAATATCTTTTTTAGCTTTATCAGCAAAATCTTTAGCACGAGTAAGATCTTTAATATATTGTAATAATACATCCATAGCTTCTTCTTGTAAATCAAATTTAGTGTAAACTTCATATGCTTCTTCAAATAAATTATCAGCAATACAACTTTCACCAATTTCTTTTGGATCATAATCATTAAGTTTTCTAATATAATCCATAACTCTATTTGGTGCTGCTTTAATACTAGTTTGAATTAATAATTTTTGTAATGTTGGATTAGTACTATATTCTGGATTTTGTGAAACTAATTTATCTAATAAATCAATCAAATCATTTGGAAGATCATTTTGAAGGAATGCTTGAACAGTTTTAAGAATTTGATTTGGATCAATACATTCTGGAAGTGCAGTATGAATAACTTGTTCAACAACACTCTTTCTATGTTCATTTTCTTCTGTTAATACTTTATTCCATAATTCAAGATCTTCTCTTTCAACAAGATATTTTGCTTGATATTTAAATAAATTATGTCTATTAGTTACATCAATTAATTCATCATCTAAATTCTTTCTCTTATAACAAATATATGATAAATATGGATCTCTATCTTCACAATATTTACCTACAATTAATGAATCATAATACATATCATTATTTAAAAATTTCTCTGCATCTTTTCCTTGATCAACATAAACTTTAGCAAGAGCTGTATGAAGAGAAACATCAGGAGATCCTTCAGATAATCTTTGTTCTAACCATGGTAATAATATAATTAATCTATTTCTACTTTCACATGTTTTAATTAATTCATCAGCTGGACAAATACCTCCAACTGCATTAATTAATTGTTGAATATAATCTTCTCCACATCCACAATCTAATAATGCACCAACAACTTTTGGAGTATTCATTGGATTAATTTTTTTAACATATGCTTCAATAAATCTATGATTTCCATTTTGATAAAGATATTGTGTCATTTCTTCAACATATCCATGTTTATCACAAACAATAATAAATGGAATTTGATCTGCAATTCTTGCATTTTTTAAGAATTCTTTAACTTCATTTGGATCATAAACATCATTTTCTTGAACAACACGTGCTAATTCTTGGAATTGTCCAGATCTAGCACATGCTTCAATATATTTAAATACAACCATTTTATCATTAGTAGTATTAACAATTTGAGATAAGAAATAAAATAATCCTTCCCAACAATCAAATTTTTGAAGTAAATCAATCACTTTATCATCTCCAAGTCCAGTATGGAATTCAAGTAATATTTTAATAATAATTTGAAGATTTCCTCTTGGATTTGTTCTTAAAAGATCTTGAAGAACAAGAATTGCTTGTTCTGGTTCTAATTTTCTAAAACTTTCAATAATTAATTCTGGTGGAATAGCAGATGCGTGTGCAAGAACTCTTCTAATATCATCAAATTCTTCAAAAATTTGAAGTGCTCTTTTAAATAATCCAGCTTGTTCACATAATTTACCAATTCTATTATGATCAAAATGTTTTAACATATCATTCTCAAAAATAGTATCAGCAATTTGTGGTGCTCCAATTAAATTCATTTCAAGAATTTTTGTTTGAATATTAGCATATTGTTCATTATCTCCATCAAGAGTATCAAGTATTAATGCAGTAATTTCTTTAAGATATCTATATCTAGCAAAAAGATCTATTATTGAAATCATATCTAATTCATCATATCCTTTTTGTTGAATTAAACTTGTAGTATATGCTTTAGCAGCTTCTCCTGATGCTGGAAGAATTTGTTGAAGAATTTGAAGATAATCTGGTGAAAATCCTGCTCTTTCACAATATGCAACTATTTTATCACTTTGTCCCATTTCTGCTAATGATTGAACTACTTTTCCTGTAGCATGTGCTTTAGAATAAATCATTAATGCAAGTCTTTGATCATATGGTTTAACTAAATCTCCTGCTTTTTCACTACATTCTATTTTATCATTTACAATCCATGCTTCAACTGCTGGAAGTTTATTTTGTGGAATAAGTAATTGAATAAGAGTAAATCCTTCAAGTGCATTAAGTGAACTAGTTTCTAAAATAGTAGCAAAATAAAGGAATAATGGTGGATTTTGTCCTGGTTGTGCTTGCATTTGACTTAATTTATTAATTGTATTTGAATTTCTAATTAATTCACCTGGTGAATTAGCTGCAATAAGAGCTGCTTCTCTAATTTGTCCTGCATTTAAAAGTGCATTAAATCTTTCTACAAAAATATCATCAGCTCCTGGAAGATTACATCTAGCTGCAACTTTACATCCAAGTCCAACATTTTTTAATCCATTACAAATAAATGGAACTAATTTATCTCCTTCAATATAAATATTAGTTACAACTCCTTTTTTTCCTACAACTGTTACTCCATCTGTACTTTGATTATATGCAGTTAAGAAAATAATATCATCAATTACTCTTCCTTGGAAAAATAATGTACCATCTCCTGAATAAAATCCATAAATATATCCCATTCTTGATATTAATAATATTGTTTCATATTTTATTGAAACAACTAATCCTACCATAAAATCTGCTTGTTGTTGTGGTTGAATAGGTATATCAATTACTGTATTTACATTTGGTTTAGATACTTCTCCTTTAATAACTTCAATTAATCCAAGTCTTGGTGTTGGGAATTTTTGTGCAAATGCAAACATAACTGATGCTTGTGATGCTCCATCAAATTTATAATTATAAAAACTAGCTGCATATCCATCTATAATTTGTGATGCATTCTTTTCAATAGAATATAATTGAATTTTTCCAATAATTTCATTATTTTTTTGTAATAATGCAAGAATAGCAACCCATTTTTCTGTTGGATCAATTTTATATCCAATAATTTGTGATGCTGCAAGTTCTGAATGTCTATCAACAATTTTCTTTGGTGCAATATTTGGATTATTTAAATCAAAATGAAATACTGTTGTTGATGTTACAATAGCTAAAATATGTTCATTAGCCCATTTCCAAAATACTAATGGTGTTTGAAGTGTTATATCTGCTACTTTAGATTTAGATTGAACATCAAACATTTGAACTGTAGTTCCTGCAGCAACTGCCATAATTTGTTTTGTTGGATGCATAATAGCAAAATCTGCACCACATGATCTTGAATCTGGACTATTAATTTTATTATTATGGAATATTCTAACTCTTTTCTCTTCTCCTTTTTCTAATACTGTAAAATGTTTATCTCCTTCAATAGAAACACTGGTAAATCCAATACTTTCTGGTTTGACAAATCTGTCTAATCTAACTACTTCTTTTATTTGAATTGGTGGTCTAATAGCCATTCTTTTTCTCTTTCTAATGATTTCTTAGTTCTTCAGGAATTTTCTAGATACCTAGTTTTTTCTAGAATTTCATTTTACTTCTTTTCTTTCCTTTTATTGTGTGAAGAATCATAAAAATCTGTTTCTTCTTCCTCCACTTCATATCTTCTTCTTTTTTCTTTTTTATTTAACTTTTTACTATTAAAATATAATTAATTAAAATAACAATTAAATCTATAAAAACTCCTTTTTTTTTTCTTTATTGAAAATGATTCTCTTTTTATTTTAATTTTGTTATTTCTTAATTAAAAATGTTTTTTTTTAATTAATTTTATCTTTTTATTCTTTTTATTATTTGATATAATTTTTATTTCTTCTTAAATTATTTTCATTTCTCTTTTTTTTCCTTATTTAAACATACTTTTTATTTACTTACTTATTGATTTTGAAAAAAAATATTTAAAATCATAGAGTTGACTTTAATTTAAATTAAATCGATGGTGAATTTGCTGAAGGAGATGATGGAATCATTGCTATAATCTCACAATCACTCTTCACCCCTTTATTTGCACATGGCTTTACAAAATGAGTTGGGTGTTCTGAAATATATACGGTTTGATTACTATCAATATTTCTATCAATCCAACAATTAGCCCCAATACGAACATGACTTCCAACAATAATATTTCCTAATACTTTTGCTCCTGTTCCTATAGTCACATAATCTCCAACTGTTGGATGTCGTTTTGTTCCTCGGTTAATCACTCCACCTTCTTCTTGGAAATGCATTGCTCCTAAAGTAACTGATTGATAAATTCTACACCACTCTCCAAGAATGGCAGTTTCTCCAATTACAACTCCAACTCCATGGTCTATAAAGAAATGTCCTTTGATACTTGCTCCTGGATGAATATCAATTGATGTGTATGAATGAACATTTTCCATCAATTCTCTACAATAATATCTTTCTCCACATTCATATAATATATGAGCTATTCTATAAACAATCACTGCTTGAAATCCAGGATAACATCTTATTATCAATGAAAGACCTGGTGCAGCTGGATCTCCAGCATATGCAGCAATAAGATCTGTTTTTAATATTTTTTTGATTGATGGAAGTTTTTCTAATATTGCCATAATGCATTGGTGTGCAAATAATTCATCATTATAAGCAGCCACTGAATTTTTAATAAGATCAACTAATTTTGTTAATTCACAAGCAAGATGAGATTCTGATATGTTTTGGTGCTTCATAAAGAAATCGGGGAAGAAAATTTTCCTTAATCTCTGTAGTTCAGCAAAGACCTCTTTATGAGGATAGTCTCGTTTACTATGGAAAGCCTCTTCGTCTTGAAGATACATTTCATATAATTTATGTGCAATTGAATAAATGTATGTGTCCATTCCTAATGATTGACTACATAGTTCCTACGCACTTATTTATACTCCAACATCTCCATGCCTTTTCAGAAAAAGTATTCCAAAAGGTCTCTTTGTTTCAAAAGAATCATTAATCGTCCCATTAGAACAATAGGTGAAAGGTCATACCTTCTGATTGGTTAGTCCTGATTTTGTTCCAATGAATTTGTAGAATAACATAATTTTTTCTATTTTAAAAACTTGTTTTTCATAATGATATTTATTATTTTAAAAAAACGAATAAAAAAGAAAAGAAATAAAAGTCAAACTAGGAAATTCAGAGTGATAAACAATGAGTTATTTAATGACTATTTTTGCAAATAAATATATTCATGGTGAAGACGAAAAAAATATCGGTTACAGTATATACAAAAAAAACGTAACTATTGATAAGTTAGCAGAAGACTCAATTTTTCAAGTCGAAAGTAATACTTGCATCGACCAATGCTATGGAAACTTGGACAATACTATAAATTTAGAAGGAGTTCATTTATACCTATCAACAACGCAGGATAAGTTATGTAAAAAATTAGAAACAGATGATATTGAAAATCATGATACATCGTTTATTTATGATCTAGATCCAGAGTCTTCTAGCGGATCACCTGAAGATGAGTTAATTAATTCTATTGTAGGAATTTTAAAAGAAAAAATGTTTGATATAATAGCCAAAGATATTAAAATAGTTATTTCGATATATCCCAGTAATAGCCCTACAGAACAACCATTAAAAGTTATTGTTGAAACAAAGTCTATTCAGTTGTCTCGTGATAATAAAAAGTCTATTCAATCGTGTCCTGAAAAAGAAACTTCTTTCACAATTAAAATGGATGAAATTCGTCTTTCTTTTCAAGAACAGGACAAGCATCCAATTAATGTTTTATTTATTGGGTCTAAAAAGGAAGAGTGTATCTCGTTAAAGGGTATATGTGATTATCTCATCAACTTCATCACAGGAAATAAAAGTAAAGGACCTGTAAGTATTTCTTGTGACGAAGTTTCGGTCTTTATTAGCAAAGAAATGGTTGAGTTTTGTCAGAAGTTCATATATAAAAATCAATACCTTGTGGTCAACCTCCTTACCAGACAACTGGAATCTTTAACACAACCTACAACAGAACTAACAGAAATAGTTGAAACTGTTTCAGACAGTGATGAAAAACCATCTGGTGGATTTTTTTCATCTTTTGGAAGTTTTCTAGCTGGGGCAGTTAATTATGTACTTCCTTCAGTTGATGAACAAAGTGAGTGTGAGAAAAGAACTAAAGAAGAGGTCATGAAGAATAAGAAAAAAAATAACACAGCTGACCAGTCATCCATTGTTGATTTGAAAACACAATCTTCTGTTCCAATTAAGTTCTATATTGGAGAAGTAGAAAATGGGATTTGTGTTGAGATGAATGTTTCATGCTTGTCAACAGCAGATAAACAATATGAAATAAAAACAATAAAAAGTACTATTGGAGGAAAGAATTTTTTGGAGATTGAAAATAAAGATGGAGACATTATGATGACACGAAAACATAACAATGAATTTAACATCGATGCAAAAGGGATGGTCAAATTAACACTTGATACTATGAATATTGAAAAGGTTAAACAACAAATCTTTTCAATAATGGATGAGTTGGGGAAGTTTTTATCTGTATTTATGAGTATTAGCAATAAGATTCCAAAAGATGAACAAGAAAGTGTTGAAGATCAACCAGAGACACCTGACCAGCAACCAATTCATATCTGTATTAGATTGAATCAAATTGAATTGATATGCTGTGATGGAGAGAACAAATTTGAAATGAAAGTTAAAATAACAGAAAATGATGAACAACCATTAATTGAAATCACATCAGCTCAACAAACAAAAATCACAGTTAAAGCGGAGAGATTAGAAATGGAAATAGGAGAAAAGAAAAGTATAATTAAAGACATTGACATTACTATCCAAGAAGGAAAACTAAAAGAAGAAAATATTGGAATAATGCAACCATTATTCATTAAAGGAAATGATTCAATGAAGTTTGGTGATGTCACTCGAGTTGATGAGATTCCAAAAGTAGAAAATGGATTTGTTCAAATAAATCAAGAACAAATGAATGAATTAAAAAAGTTATTTGAAATGAGTGAGAGTTGTATTAATTTCAATGTCCAAAGCATTAGTCTTGATATAGAAACAAAAGAACTTGTTACCCTAACTAAAGTTAAAGATTGTATAACTGGATTTGTAATAGAGTGTTGTCAGAAAATGTCAGGTCATATAAACCAAGAAAGTAGTAATAAAAAAAGTAAAGAAATAAGCATTGTTCAAGAATTAGACATTGTGTATGAAAATGGATGTGATTTTGATAAAATGATCAAAATAATTCAAGAAGGAAAAAAACCAGTGAGAGATACATACATTTATGGTACTATTGATTGTATTCAAATTATACTAAGAAATGATACTGAGTTAATGGAAATGACAATGAAAAGTGTTGAAATGATTAACCCACAAAATATCTTTGGATTGGGACTGGCTCTTACTTATTATCAAGTTGAAGAAATAGAAATTAAGATGAATTACATACAACGAGGGTGGATAGATAAAATTGAAAAACAACAACAAACAACAATAATGAATGGGAGAAATTGTTCTTTTACTTTTATTAATCATGAAACGAAGAATACAGAATTTGAAGAAATTGTTCATTACTTTAAACCAAGAAATATGAACAAGGCATCAATCTACCAATTCTCATTTATCAGAATGACAAGTGGTTATTCATTTGAAGAGTTCTTCAAATTATTTTCATTATTAATGTCAATGACATATTCTTCATCTTCAGAACCACAAAATAGTGATGACAATTCAAAGGACAATACCACAGAAGATTATTCACATTCGTTTTTTACTATTAATAACTCTCGATTATTGGTTGAACAAATTAAAGATGTACCACTTAATAACACTATTCCAATAGCACTCAAAACAACTAATTTATGCGGACATTACATTTCATATCAAAATGAAATGATTGGACAAATTCAAAGTAAGATAGAATTAAATGAAATAGAAATGGGATTAACATGTAATTTTAAATATGGAAAAAGAACAGAGATATATATTCCATCACTTCACATTAATGGAACACTAAAAATACAAGAAGTATCTCCATTGATTAATACAGTTATGATGATTATAACATTTATCAATCCATATCAACAACCAACAGAAATTACTAAGGATAATATACCACAACAAATTAGTAAGACATGGGAAGAATGGTATGAAAAGGAGTTAATTCCTTTAGCTCGAATAGAACGAAAATACGATTATGATAGTATTAATAAAATGGTCAATAAAAAGAAAAAAGGAATTAAACTTGTTGATGAAACATACCTTTTATTAGGAAATGACATCAACTCATCAGATAAAAATACATCACAATATGACACTACTATTATTCGTGACACAAATGAAGTGTCTTTTAAAAAAGAAAATGAATCATTTTTAAACAATTACAGGAATGAACCAATTGAAAATACTCAAGGAAAAGAAGAAACTAATACCAATCAAAAACCATTTAGTATTGAAATAAAATTTATTACTATTCAACTCAAATTAACCATGGAAAAAGAAGATTTTCTCAGTATTGGATTTGAAATGATGAAAATGAATGTTGTGATGGATGATAATGGTGCAACAGATGTATATTGCAATTTATCTAAAATTCTTATTCATTCAAATAAAGAAAAAGAACCTATTTTTGAATTAGATACCAAAAAATCTACACTTCAAATTGCCTTTAAAACTATTGTTCCGAAAAGATTGGATGGAGCTAAAGATGAGATGGGATGTTCAATTGGTCTTTATAATAATGGATGTAAATTAAATATTCGGTTAAGTCTCAAAGTGCTCAAACAACTTTATTCAATGGTTAAGTCATGTTCAACTGAAAACACTCCTCCTCCAAAATTTGTTCAAGAAATTACACCACCTCCTATGCTCATCAATTTGAGCTTCCTTGAAATCCAACCAATTATAGGTGATTTTAAAATAGAAGGAAGAATTGACTTATTAAAAAATACTTTCTCTGTGCCTTCAACCCTTTTAAAGATAGAAAATGTTTGTGGAGATATTAGCTCATTATTAAATGGTATTTCAATGAGTATTGAAGATAAGGCGATGAAAGAACTTTATCCATTGTTTTTGTGGATTTTGTCTGGATTGTTCCCACAAATCACAAATGTTTCTAGTGTGAAGTCATTTATTTCATCACTTCTAAAGTCATTTTCTAAATAACGTTTTTGATTAATTAAAAGTGTGTTTTTCTTTTTTAATAGCATTAAACAAATAATAAAAAAATTATTATTTCTTCAAAAACTTCATCACAAACAAAAAAATTAAAAAAAACACAAAATTACCATAACAAGGATGTCTCACCATAATATTGATGATAGTAACTCTTCTTCTAGTAGTTCTGAACAATCAGAAGGAGAAGAAGAATTCGACGAAGAGGATGAAGACGAAGATGAATATGAACAAGAATGTCCTACAACCGGAATGAAACATCCTCCTCAAGTAAATTCATACGGAGATGCTTTAAAGCCAGGAAAAGATGCACTTCATTGGGGGGTTTTGAGGCCATTTGATTCATCATATCCAGGTATTGATTTATATGGAAGTAAAATGTATATTGGACAACATTCCTTTAATTATGTATTAGAGAATGTAGGTGTAGAAATTTGTATATCATATATTCATCCAGGAGAAGCTTCATTAGAAATCACTTCATCTAATGGATTTGTTTATATTAATCAACGAACAGTTAGAAAAGGAGATAAAGTTGTATTAAAAGAAGAAGATGAAATTGGATTTTATTATTCAAAGACATATGTGTTTACATTATTCTTTGATGAAAAACCACAAATGTGTTTAATTGATGAAATAAAAACAAATCAAGGAATTACAGTATTTAACAAAGAACAACCAATTCAAAAAATGGTTTTCCCTGAAATTAAAACTCCAATTAAGCCAATATCACAAGCAGAAGTACTTGAAGCTATTTTCAAAAAATTTGGAAGAAATAGAATTAGTCAAGACGTTGAAGGAAAATTTTTAAGAAAAGAAATGAATAAAGCTACATTAAAATTTTTAAGACCATGTGAAATTGAAGCATTAAAATATACATGTGAAATACCATTTGTTCATCCTGAATTAATTAAATTTACTAAATCTATTACGAGTTTGTATCGTACATTATTACTCACTATTCCTAAAGGAGGTATGAAACATTTATCACGTGTTGTTCATGCATTGGCTGATGAGTACGATGTTCCTATGTTAGAAATTAATTACGATACACTTGGAATGACTATGGATGCAAAGTCTCAAGAAAGAAAACAATTTTATGCAGGTCAATTAGTTCAATTTATTGGAAAAGGAAAAAGACAAAGAGATTTTGTAGATGATATTGAATTAGGGACAAAAGGAGTTGTACTATATGTTAAAGATTCTCATGCAGCAGTTAATTTTGATTATTTTAATAAAACAGTCGCATGTTTTGTTGATATTGAGTATTTAGGAAATATTGATGAAGAAATACCAGATACTGACCAAAGAGTTATTGGTAAGTTAGATGAAATTATTGACATGTATGGAAGAAAAAATAGTTCAGAAGATAAGAAAGGAAAAATGATAATTTTAATTAACAATATTTCATCTATGAATGATAACATACAATTAATGAGTGATTTTAAATCTTATTTAAGGGCATTTCAATACTCTGATAAAAATGCTATTATTATTGGAACTATGGTCACACCTCCTCCTCCATCAAAATCACAGTCAGGACCTCAAATGGATCAATCATTATGTATGTTGGGTGTTAAAGAATTTAGGTTTGAAACTATTCCTTTTAGTAAAGCTACAAAGGATCAACAAAAAGATTTAAATAATATTTCAAAATTATTTGGTAATGTATTAAAGTTCTCACCACCAACTGGAGAACTTGAACGTTCTTGGAAAGCTTTAGTTAATGAAGATGCCAAAATGGAAAAGATTGCAAAAAATAGAGAAATGATAATCGCACAAACAACAGCTTTAAGAATTAAATTACTTCAATACCCAGGAGAAGAAATGACTGAAAGTTATACACCAGAACAAATAGAAAAAGCTATTGGAATAGCAATTGAAGAAGCAAGGAGTAGTACTGGAATTGCAAATGAATTAAGCAAAGAGCAAATTGCACATGGATTAAACACTGTTAGAGAAAAGAAAAATATTGATATTGAAGAAATGGAAACAGATAATGAATTTGAAAAGAAATTATTATCAGACGTTATTAGAGCAGATGATATTAATGTGTCATTTGATGATATTGGAGCATTGGATGATGTAAAAGAAGTATTAAACGAAACTATTACATTACCATTAAAACGGTCAGAATTGTTTTTCTCTAAGTTAACACAAGGAGCTAAAGGAGTGTTATTATTTGGACCACCAGGAACAGGAAAGACTATGTTAGCTAAAGCGGTTGCAACTGAAAGTAAATCAAACTTTATTAATGTATCAATGTCATCACTTGGATCAAAATGGTTTGGAGAAGCTGAGAAGTATGTTAAAGCATTATTTACGTTAGCCTCTAAATTGTCTCCATGTGTTATTTTTGTCGATGAGGTGGATGCTTTGCTTGGAAAACGTTCAAGTAGTGAACATGAAGCAGTTAGAAAAATGAAAAATGAGTTTATGTCATTATGGGATGGGCTTAAAAGTAAAGAAATGGAACGAGTAATTGTAATGGCAGCAACAAATAGACCATTTGATTTAGATGATGCAGTGTTAAGAAGGTTAAGTAGAAGGATTTTAGTTGATCTTCCAAATGAAACAAATAGAGTGCTAATCTTAAAAAAAATTTTAAGAAGAGAAGACGTTGAGAAAGATTTAAATTATTCTATTATTGCTCAACAAACAGAAGGATTTAGTGGAAGTGATTTATTTGCATTGGGACAAATGGTAGCTATGAGACCGATCAAAGAGTATTTAGCTAAAGAAGTAAAAGGACAAAAAAAAGATATGAATCCCGTTTTAAGACCTTTAAGTACTCAAGACTTCTTAGAAGAAGTTAAAAAGATAAATCCTTCTGTTTCTAAAGACAGTAGTTCTTTGAATGAATTAAGAAGATGGAACAGTCTTTACGGAGAAGGAGCATCTACAGCATCAACTAGTCTAAAATATTTCTTATAATTAAAAACATTTTCTTTCTGAACATTTTTTTGTTATTTTATTGTTTCCTCATAAGTTATAATCTCTACGGAAGTTGTAACTCTTTTTTGAATATTATTCATTTATTGTAAGTTAAGATGAGGTTTGGAGGTAAAAAAGTATTTTTTATTTCTTTTGAATGAATACAATGTGTTAAATCTTTTTAATCATTGTCTATGGACAAAGAAGTGTTCTTCATGCTTTTTTTTTTTATATTTTTGTTTATGTAGATTGGTGTGAATTTTCTACAGATAGGCTTCCTTTAAATTTGGAACACCATGTAATTATCCAACACAGTCAGAATGGAGAGGTTGGAAACATGTAACTTATGTCGAGTCAAATAAAACTGATTGTTTCTTATTTGTTAATGATTGTTGTGGTGCTGATAGAGTTGATACAACCAAAAATTATTTATTTTTTGATGACACAGCTGATACACCAAATAAGTATTTTTATTTTAAACATGAACCTTCAACAGCAAATGGAAGGAAGGTACTAAACTTAGACTTTTGGAGAGAGTCAAAATATTCAAATACTAATTATATATTTGACCTTGATGGAATTCCTGAATATTCTACTTTGTATCAGGGAGGAAGAGTTGCATCAGACTCATCAACTACAACACTTATGCTACATAAAGTTATTGTTTATTTTACAGTCAATGATACTTTTCATGAAAATATTATTTTAGATTATAAAGAAAATATTCCTCCATTTCTTCTTATCGATGGAGATGCTTCTGTTACAATCAAAACAAATTACTATACCCCAAAGTGTACATATCACTACTCAACAAAAGGAATAAAAACCACTATAAAAACACCAATTTCTGGAAAGGTTTCTGCAACATACCAATCGTATAGTATTTGTGATATTGATGGATATTCTCGAATTACTCTTTGTCCTTTAAAGATAATACCAGATAATGATTGTACATGTACTTTTAAAAATTTTGAATATCAAAATGGATATTATGATTGTTATCACTTGAGTGAGCATAGGATTTTCAATATCAGTTCAGATCAAGAACAATTACCTGTAGAACAAATTTGGTATTCTTTTACGAATATTGATGATACCACTTTATCTATTCCAAAAAGAAATAGTCTTTCATTTGTTGGTATTGTAGAACCACCAGATTATCCTATGCGTTTTTATGGTAAAGTATATTTTAATAATACTCTTAAAATTACTAAAAGTGATGTTTATTTTAGTATTGGTACTTTCTATTTAAATCAAGTAGAAATAAAAGATTCTGTCTCAAATGATGCTGTTCTATTCAGAGGAAAATTAATGATTGATACTGATGAAGAAATAGAAAGATTAAATAATATTGGTATTAAACAAGTACCTTGTGGTGATTCAACAAGAAGATATATCAAAACAACAAGTTCTATAAACTGTAAGTGTACACAAACATCACCAACTACCTTTACTCAATTTGATTGTGATGATTCAACTACTAGAAGATATGATAAATTTACATTAGTTTTATCTCAAGATTATAATGGAGGAAATGTAAAAAGATATTGGCAAAAAATTATTTCAGAAACAGATCTTAAATCAGTAACAATTACTGGTGTAGGAATTAATGTAGAAGATGTGTGTGATTTTAGTAAAATTTCAAATATTAATATTGACACAGACTTAAGATGTTCGTCTTTGAAAATAAATTTAATGTCTTCAATTTCTGTTAATGAAAATTCTCAATTCTCATTTGATTCTATTACTACAGTTGGTGATATCACTGACTCAAATTTAGATGGAAAAGCATTAATTCAAGTTAACTCAGGTAATTTAGTCATTTCAAGTGCTATTAAAATAAATTTCAGTTCCACTACTGTTGATTGCTTTGAATTAGCTTCTTCAAACTCTCCATTTTCTGATGAATTATCATTAGTAGAGTCAAATGAGCATAAAGTTTATGCTTTGGACCGTTTGTTAAGGGTATGTAAGAAGGAGTCTAACAATATTGATGTTTATTGCACTATTTCAGATCCTAATTATAATTTTGATTATCAACAGTGTCCATGCCAAGGACCAAGTTGCTATATCCAAACTAATCTCGATAAAGTCATACTCCCTGATTCCACAAATATTGAAAATGCTATTCTTTTATTGTCTCAAAACGTAATATTTTCAAATGTTCAAAGTATTGATAACATTCAAATAACAGGTGATTTTGATATTACTCTTGAAGGGACTCAAAACATATTTATTGGATCAATTGATGGACGATCTCACAAACCAACACTAATCACCAAAGGAGATACAGTCATTGAACGAACTCTCAGTGCAGTAAAGTATAACCCACACTCAAAATTAACGTTCTTATCACAAAATACTTTAATTGAAGACATTATCGAAACAGATACATCAATAATTATCATTGACCGAGGTGTGACAAAATTGGCATTAAATAGTTTAACTGGAGCTAAACAGAAAGAAACACCTCTTTTTGATACTGTTTCAGCATCATTATCGTTAAATATTAATGGTATGCCAACAATTTCTAATATAATGAGATCAGTAGTAAAAAACACCAAGAGAAAGATTGAAATTAATCAACCAGAACAAATTAAATTCAGTTGTGATCGACAAGCTATTGTTATCATGGAAGAAAGTCAAACATCAATCACAAAAGAAAACTGCATAACAATGAATCTTTACCAAAGACAATGTATTCAAACAAATGAAGGATATGTGGATGTCAATGGGGATCTTGACTTTACTTGTCCATGTTCATCTAGGGAAAGTCAATGTTCAATCATTCTAGCAAAAGGAAATACAAAAATGACAATAAACGACATTGAAGAATTATATATTTCTAATAGTGCCACATTAATAGCAAGCTTTCAGAAGTTTAAACTTATTACAACAAGTGGAAAACCAACAGACCATTTTGTAATTGATGGAAAAAACAACTACATTTATTTAGATGGAATTATAGGACAAACAATTGAATTTAATGAAAAAAATATTATTTCTGTTGTACATGATGGACTCTCATTAATTAACATGAAAACAGGAACAACAAATAATATAATTATAAATGAAACATCTTATTGTACTGATATGTACATTACTACTGGAAAAGTAGAATGCTTAAAATGTGGAGAAGGAAACCCAATTGAGGGAGATTGCCCAGAACGACCAATTGTTCTTAATTGCACTAAGTATTCAACAGCTGGGAATTGTGTTGAATGTAAAGAAGGATATTACTTAAAAGGTCAAACACTGAAATCTCAAAATTGTTTTCCATGTAATATCCATTGTAAAAAATGTAGTTCAGATAGTAAATGCTTATTATGTGAAGATGGATATAAAGTTGGGTTATCAAATTATTGTGAATTAGTTTCATCAGAGGTATGTCCAAATTATATTATGGGAATGTGCAGAAAGTGTCAAGATGGAAAATATAGTTCGGATGAACAAAGTTGTAATAAGTATTGTTCAGAACTCCATTCAGGGTGTGGAGTATGTAGCACAAATAATGGAGAGTGTTCAGTTTGTGATATTAATGATGGATATATGTTGTCTTCAGGACAGTGTGTTAAACAATCAAGTGCCTCTATTGTATCACCAAATGGTGTAGTTCAATGTAATGATGGATGGTTTAATGATGATGGAACATGCAAAGAATGTTCCAAAAATTTTGGTTCAGAATGTACAAAATGCACAGCAACAGAATGTCTTAGTTGTAGTAATTCATATATTATCAATTCGAATGGAATTTGTATTGATAAAACAGATTGTTCATTAGAAAAAGATTCAACTTGTTATAAATGTGTTTCTGGGAAATATTTTGATGGTTCTAGTTGTGTTAATTGTCCATTAAAATGTACAGAATGTTATAGTTCAACAAATTGTATTACATGTGAGATGATAGTTATCTTGTAGATGGATTATGTACTTCAACAAAACCAGAAAATCAATGTATTGAATATCTTGAGGGAAACTGTATTAAATGTAATGTGAGATATTATCTATCTAATGGAGAATGTTTACCATGCAACTCTAACTGTTATGAATGTTTTGGTGATGAATCTTATTGTATTTCATGTAATGACAAATACACATTACAAAGAGATGGAACAAAATCAATATGTCAAAGTGATGATATTCTTAATGCTAAATGTACTCAAATGATGAAAGCAGGGACTGGGTGTGCTATTTGTAAAGATGGATTTTACAGAAAAGATGTTGATTGTCAAGAATGTATAAAGAATTGTACTAAATGTTTAGATGGAAATAGTTGTATTTCATGTGAAGACAATTTCTTTTTGTATAATGGAAGACAATGTATTTCATATGATATGTTAACTTCATGTAAAACTAAAACTCCAAATGGATGTACTTTATGTGAAGATGGATATGTTCTTAAAACACCTTACTGTCAATCTTGTCTAGAAGTAACTGAACATTGTACATCATGTTCAACAATTTCTTGTTATTCATGTGAAGAAAATTATGTATTAATAGGAGATAAATGTGTACATTACAGAGCCATTGAACACTGCTCTAAATCTACTGACTCAAAATGTAGTAAATGTGATTTTTGGTATAGTGTTTCAACAAGTGGAACATATTGCCAGAAACAACCAGTAGTATGGTTTATAGTATTAATATGCATATTAGGAAGTATTATAGTTATTTTGATTATTGCAGGTGTTGTTGCATTGTCCTGGTATTTTATTAAAAAAAAAAACAATTAGAGTCATCAATAGTGAAACAGATTTCGTATTCAAATTGAAAAATAGAACTGATTTCTATCAATTACAAGAATAGTGATTTTGTTGTAAATAAAAAAGTCCTTAAATTTGATACAGCTAATTCGCTCTATCTTCCACTTGGTAAGGATACATATGATTATCTCTGTGTTGGATCCTTCTATATCAACCATGTTAAAGTCCAAATCATTTCAAAAACAGATAAAAAAAGAAGTATTCACTTAGTATTAAACCAGCATGCATCTATTTAAGATGTAAAGAAGTTTGTGAGTTTAAAATTACAATTAACCCGGGTTGTACATGCGTTATAGAAGGTAGTATTTATATTGTTATTGATAATTTTTGTTAACAAATCATTTTCTATTCACTACCCATTAATTGCAAAACAATAATACCAACACGACTTGATCCGGATGAAATAAAAGAAGAAAATAAAATAGGAGAAGGATCATTTGGAATTGTATATATAGGAGAATTTAGAGGAAATCAAGTAGCAATTAAGAAAATGAAACAAATTGAAGAAAATGAAAATAAAAAGAAAGAATTTGAGAAAGAAGTAATGATGTTAGATAAATTTCGAAGTGAATATATTATTCATTTTTATGGAGCAGTATTTATTCCTAATAAAATATGTATGATAACAGAATATGCAAAATATGGATCAATACAAGATTTAATTAATAAAAGAACAAACACAGAAATACCAAATAAAATAAGAATTAAATTCATGATAGATGGAGCAAATGGAATTTCATATCTTCATTCAAATGGAATATTACATCGAGATATTAAACCAGATAATTTTCTTGTTATAACACTTGATGATAATATTGGAGTTAATTGTAAATTAACAGATTTTGGAAGTTCAAGAAACATTAATATGATGATGACAAATATAACATTCACAAAAGGGATAGGATCACCTATTTACATGGCACCAGAAATATTAAATCGAGAACATTACAAAATGGCATCAGATATATATTCATATTCAATAACAATGTTAGAGATTATTACATGGCAAGATCCATTTCCAAAAGACATGAAACCATGGACTGTTGCAGATAAAATATCAGCAGGAGAGAGACCTGAAACAATTAATAAAATTCAAGAAGTAGAATTAAAAAAGGTTATTGAAATGTCATGGAACCATAACCAAAAAGAAAGGATTTTAATTGGAGATATTATGACATTATTAGAGTCATATCAAAACAAACAATATAATTGACTTTTTTTATAAAATAAAACAAATAAAAAATCTTAAAAATGAGTAAAACAAGAAACAAAGATGATAGTAAGACAGAAACAAAGGATTGAGACCCTTCCAACTGAACTCAGTAAATTGGTAATTCAAAAGAAAAAAGTAGAGGAAGTCAGAAAATGGATGAATGAGAATTTAACAAAACCAAAAATACTTATTGTTAATGGACCGAATGGAAGTGGAAAAACAACACTAATCAAATCAATTGGAAAGGAAGATCGAATCCAAATCAAAGAGATGGATAGTAAAATAAACGATAAGAAAGGAAAAAATAAAGAAGAAATGAGAGAATGGGTATTGTATTCATCAGAAATGAGAGGATTGTTTGGAGGTGATTGGAGAAGAAGTTGTATTTTATTTGAAGAAGAATGTTCAAGTGAATGGTATGTTGAATTATTTGTAGATTATGTAAGAAATGGGAAAATGCCATTAGTTATTACTTGTAATGAATCAATTAAAAATAGTATTAACAAATACATTGAAACAAATAAAGGGAATTTTGAATATGAAAGTTTAAAAGAATCAATTAGTTATGTTACTTTAAACCCAATAACAATAAATAGTATCAAAAAATGTTTAAATGGAATAAGTCAAGGGATTATTAATAGTATAGCAGAAGGATGTCATGGTGATTTGAGAGTTGCATTAAATAATAAAGAAATTATCGAAATAAACAGTAAATTTATACAAGTTATATCTACTAACGAGGCTATTTCATTTTTTCATTTAATAGGAAGAATTATTCATACAGAACCAGTTTATAATGAATATGAAAAAAGGTATGAATTGAAACATAGTCCAAGTAGTGTGGCAAAAGAGTTACAAGGAAGAGAACGAATTATTCCATTAATTGAACACAATATTATTTCTACAATTAAAGAAATGAAATATTTAACTTATGTAGAACATTATATTTGTTTGGCTGATATATTTCAGAAACAAGCATTCAATCAACCACTCTGTGAATACCTTACATGTGCTGTTATTACAGGAAGTGTTATGGTTATCCCAAGAAAAGAAAAAAGAATGGTTGAAATAGAAGCATCACCAGTAAATCAATCACTTAGTACAATGAATAAAAAAGGGAATAAAGAAATTGAAGAGTGTAAAGAATGTTTTAATAAAATAATAAATAATTGTATTACAAAACAAAAACAAACAATACCATTTAATATTGAATATGATACATTTTGTAGTGATGTATTACCATTTATAGAAATATTAAAATCTAATGGAATGGTACAAAATCATCAATTAGAATATTGTTTGAAACAAATTCATTCACATTCTAATGTATTTCAGTTTGTTATTTCAATTTAAACAGTCTAATAAGTTTTATTTAAAATTCTTTATTATGTAATTAAAAAACACAATTCATATTAATAGAGAGAATGAGTAAATTATTATTTTAGAATACTTTGAGTTTTGTCTTTTTTAAATAAAAACCAAAAATCAACTGATAATAAGTATAAAATAATGTCAAAAATTGATACATATCATATGATGATTATATCCAAATATTTTAACTTCTCAAGTGACTTTATTGATATAGTTCAGATCTGTAAGAAATACAAAGACATTCCTTCAATGTTTCATTATAATCCAATTCCATTAACAAAAGAATTATTAAAAATTTTCCCAAATATTCAAACACAATACATTTATAGTACATCAGAACGTCGGGTTGAAGGAATAGGGAAATATTATTATTTTGGTGATATTAAAGAAAAAGAATATTTATCAATAAAAAAGAAAAAAGAAAAAAATGTAAGTTTTAGAATGGTAAAAATGAATGAATCTAGATTAGAAAATAATATTAAATTGCCAAAGGAAATTAAAATTTTATTGACTTGTAAAAGGTATCATCCAATGTTTCATTATTATTATTATAATAATAACTATTTGGACAATGAAAAAATAAATAAAATAGCGGAATTACATTTAGACTCTATTATGATTCTTGGTGATAATGTGTTTAGTCAATATAAATGTTTATCTAAATTAGAACTTAATAACATTCGTATTATTGGAAATGAATGCATCAACCAACTTAATTCTCTCAAAGAATTAAATATTCAATCATTAAGATATATTGGAAATCACAGTATATGTGAATGTACACAACTGATAAGTATTACACTTCCACAAACACTTTACGAAGAAGGAACAAATTGTTTTCAAGGTTTGTTATCATTAAAACATATTTCAAATTATGGAATTACAAAAATAAATACATCACTTCCTTTTGAAGAGGCTCGGATATTTATTAATAACAGAATTGATGTCGATGATATTTATTTCAGAAATACAACAGAAAAAAATGAAATACCAAATGGAGTAAAAAGGCTTGAACCTAATTGTTTTCATGAAAAGGAAATAGAATATATTCAATTACCAATAAGTTTAACATATCTATCAACAGATTCATTTCATGACATTTTATTACTAAAAGAAATTGATTTAAGACATGTTAAAAAATTTGAAGATGACTCGTTTAATAATTGTCCTGATTTAACAAGTGTAACTATTATGAACAAAGAATGTTTTAATTGTAAAATGTTTTGTCAATGCCCAAACTTGAAGAACATTAAATTTATTGATTCTCCACCAAGAGTTATTGAAGATGTTATTGATAATGAACTTGCAATGGCTCTTGAAAATCAAGGTATTCAATGCAATACAATTCAATTAAGAATGCATACATCAAACCAGTTAAGAGAGGGAATTAAGATTATTTATTTTGAAGAAGAAAACTATGAAGATACTGAAGTTAGATTTCCATTAACCTTAATAGAAATACACACAAATGGAATGATAATAGGTAATTCATGGAACAACTTAACTAGGTTGATATTCCCTCCGTCCCTTAAAAAAATTGGGGCTGGATGTTTTAACAATGTGAGTTCACTGAAAGAACTTGATTTGGGAAATATTTCAGAGATAGGAATGTATTCTTTCACAAATGTTTCATCACTTTCTTCTTTGACTTTTTCTTCAAACTTACGTTCTCTTCCATCACCAATTCAGTTTTGTTCAACAATTAAAAGACTGATCATAAATGGGGATAAAGTTTCTCTACCGTTGTGTAGAAGAATGGCAACTATTGCACGTCAGATGAACATTTGTGAAATAAATAATATCTTCTTAACAAAGGAAGAATCAAAAGAATTGACAGAAATACCATATGACATTGATTATCTTGATTCATATTGTTTCAGTCAACGAAATGACTTACTTTCAATCACTATTCCAAGCAATATTACTGGAATAGGAGATGGGTGTTTCAAAGAATGTTTCAATTTGACAAAAGTTGAAATAAACAAAAGTGTGAAAATAATAGGAGATGAATGTTTCAGGTATTGTAAAAATTTAGAAAAAGTTGATTGCTACAGAAACTATTCTTTTGGTGGAAGGAAATTTGAGGGTTCTAAGTATTTAAAAAGCATTGAAGAGAATACAAAATAAAAAACAACATAAATGTTATTAGTTTATGTCCACGGTTCTTTTACAGGCCAAACTCAAAGTTTATAATTTTAAATTATTATCGTTCTTTTTTGAGATTATCTATTGTTATGTACTACTTTAACAAACATTAGTTTGTAAAGATGAGATAAAATTTTATGATAAATTGATAGTGAAGTTATGTGAGTTTTATTAAATAAGGTTAATTAATAAGATCATTTTTATTTTCATTAACAGAATATATTTAGTAAAGAAATTATAATATCTTTTTTGTGAATTAAATATTGATAATTGCATCTATTAAGTTATTGAAAACTCATTTCATTGAAATCATTGAATTTGTTTTATGTTTTAAAGAAGACTATTATCATGGTATATTTTAAATATTCATTATGATTAGTTCAATGGTGGAATATTGTTATTACATCAAACAAAATAAAATGAACATAAATTGATTAAATGAAAACAGAATAAATTAAAATAAAGTCAAATAAAGAAATAATGAAAGATAAAAGAAAAGATGAATAAAGTAATAACTCAACAAGTTCAATTTCTGAAATTTAACAATATTTATGAAATGGTTATGAAAATGGAATTTTAATGAAAATAATACAACAATTATCATTGACACTGTAATATTAAAGTTTATGAAATGTTGTATTAATTAAATAAAGAAGGAATAAAATGATAAGTAAAAATGACAGAATAAATAATAATTTGAAAATCAATCAAAATATTTTAACTATTTATTTCAAAATACAATAATTAAATTATTACCTCATCTCACTTTTCTTTAATCATAATAGCATCAATTTTTCAATAAAACTGATTTAATAGAAAATATATCAAATACATTGTATCATTAATGAACAGTAATAATACAAATAATATAACAAAATAACAAGAAACTGTAATGTGTTTATCAACAAATGAAGATATTATTAATAATTTGAATTTAAATAAATACAAGTAATTCAGATATAAATACATAAAATCTAACCAAATCATCATTCTGTTTTTATAAACAAAGAGAATAATGAAACAACAATCATTTACTACAAATACTAACTATTTAAATTGTAATACAACACTTTACAATAAAAGAGTGTTTAATAACAAACTTAAGATAGAACAATATAATGAAGAGAGGTATAAATTTAAATAAAATTAACAATTAGAAAAGAGTATGAACAAAGCACAAACAAATGAGAATATGAAATAACACGTTATTATTAGATAATAACTTATAATAGAAATAATAAGATTAATTTATGTAGATAATTAGAATATAATAATACAGTTCAATTGTATAGAATGAATAGTTTTATAACTAGTTCATAACTTGAATATTTGAATAAACACTAACAATAAATATAATACAACTATAACATATAAAATAATTAAATTTGTAAAAAAAACAAGAAATATAATAAAATGATGTAGTGTTTTAACAATAAATATCACTGAATTGACATTGATATAACATAAATATAAGATTTTCTGTATGGACATATAAAAATGAATTAAAAATTGTTTTAAATGAATATGAAATAGAGAAACAAGTTTTATTGAATGTGTTAAAATATAGAATAATATATGTGATAAATGTAATAAGATTAATTGAACCAAAATCAAAATATTCATTACCTCAGAATAAATATTCATTTGAATAATGAAATCAAATATTTACAAATAAAAAATGAAAACTAACTAATATTAAAACAAACTATATTCATTGTACAATTAATTATGTTAATAACCTAGAAATTATAATTAGAGACATTATAATATTAATAATCAATAAATTATATATATATATATATATGAAACATAATATTGAAATTATAACATAATAATAAAAGAAGAACACTACATTACAATTACATTTAAAGATATTATTATAATAATTATTAAATAACTTTAAATATAAATAAAATCTAATATTCAAATAAATCATTCAAAGATAAATAATGAATAAGTTGAAATAAACATTAATTCAAACAATATAAATTGTAATTAAATATAAAATGATATCAAATAAACAAAAGTATCATTAATTAACCACTCTAATTAATTATATGATTTGTTTTATAATAATATATTATCATTATTTGAATAATAATGAGTTATTGTTATTAATTATTAAGTTAACTATGATATTTATAATATCAACTAGATCATGCTATTCTCATTTAAAACACATTTAAAATAAACAATAAAGTTTATTTCAAGGAGAGATGATAAATTAATTTGTTTATTCTGTTATTATTTCACTAGAAATATTAGAAAATGAAGAAATGTTAATCATGAGTTTATTTGATAATGATAATTGTTTCATTATTGAATTATGAATATTGAATAACATTTGTTAAAACATATAAGTTTTATTCATTAATTTAAAATCATATAGATTAATTATTTATTTTTAATTTATCATATGATATTTGATTTTATCAAAAGATAATAATAATAATAATGAGTATTATTGATGAAGAAATATTTACATTTTAACGATATGTAAAGAATAGTAATACTAAAAACAAAATAACTTAATTAAAATAACAATAACAAACATATTAAAAGAAATATAAAAAAAGAAAAATGAATAATTCAAAGAATGAAAGTTAAATAAACACAAAAATGAAATAAGAATTAGTATAAAAACTAAACAAAGTTTTATTTTATCTATGATAGATAATCAAGTTATAAAAAAAACAAAAGATTTAATAAGCGTATTGAAAATAACATAATTTAAATATAAAGAAATGATATAAAGATTATTAATAATTGAAACAAAGATAAAACTTATTTACACCATTCAATTTACATCATTTTCTATTAGAAAAAGAAGACATACA